TAAAAAATAAAGACTAAAATTAGTAGCTACTATAGTCCATACTTATGCTTCTGTTGTGATGACATAACATGTGCATAAACTGTGCTCTAATTGAGAACATCGAGATGTGGATAAAGCACCAGAAAACATTTATTTAAGAGCATTAGAGGCTAGAGGTGCCAAGTTTCTGGAAAGGGAAAGTAACATACAGAGGTGAGATGACATTCTGCAACCATATCTCCCTGGGGAAATTTGCCACGTCTGGGCCCAAGGCAAGAGGCACCTGGTTTTGACTGAGCAGAGGGCCACTGTTAGCAGAGCTGATGGCAGTCTCAGCACTCGAAAAACAAAAGTAGAGGCAAGAGTGTAATCATGCAGGAAGTGCAGAGAACTAAGCCTAATAATGACCTGTTTCCCCCTAAGACACTTGGCACAATTTGAAGCTCCATGGGATGAGTGGCCCCCCACCAAAAAAAAAATAATAATAATTCTACATCTTAGGGAGATCCCAATGAATACACTAGGTGTATTAGTTTCCTGTGGCTGCTGTAGCAATAACCACAAACTTAGTGCCTTCAAACAATACAATTTATTGTCTCACTGTTCTGTAGGTCAGAAGTCTGAAAGGGGTCTCACTGGGAAAAGGTGTCATCAGAGCTGTGCTCCTTTCCGAAGGCTTTACAGGGGAACCCACTTTCTTGCCCTTGTCAGCATTTAGAGCTGCTCCCATTAGTTAGCTCATGGCTTCTCACCCTTCCATCCTCAAAGCCAGAAATCACAGAGCCTTTCTTGCATTGCATCTCTCAGACACTAACTCTTCTGCTTCCCTTTTCCACAGGTAAAAGATCCTGGTGATTACATTGGCCCACCCAGGAAATCCCTTATAAAAGTCACCTGATTAGCAGCTTTATTTCTATCTGCAACTTAATCCCTTCTTGCCACATAACATAACATGCTGACAGTCTGTGGGGTTAGGATATGGACATCTTTGAGGACCATTATTCTGCATACCACACCAGGCTTTGAGCAGGAAGGCATGGAAGCTTACCAAAACTGTAACATAGCCTTCATGCAGCACACCGAAAAGTGATGAAAAACAGCCCACATATTACCCATATATTCATAGCTAGGGTAAAATCACACTGAGGCATGCCATGGTCAAACCAAGAAGATAAAGGAGATAAAGAAGATAAGGAGAATATTTAAAAGCAGCCAGAGGAAAAAGATACATTACTTTCAAAGGAACAACAGTTGATTCTCAACAAAAATTATGATAAAACAATAAAGTGACATTATTAAAGCTGTGGAAGAAAATAACTAAAAGAATGGACTATTATACTCAGTGGGGAAAAATCCTACAAAACTGTTAGTTAAAAACATTTAAAACCCTGATAAATCTCTTTGCCAGAAGATCTGTCCTAAAGAAAGAATTCTTTAGACAGAATAAAAATGATCCAGTTGGAAACAGAAATTGAGAAAGGAGTGAAGAGCAATGAAAACAGTGAATATATGGTGATATATAAATAAATATTGACTTAAATAATATTTTATGACATTCTAAACTATAAATGTAATTAAAAGTGCATATCAATAATACTACAGGCAGAAGAGAGTCAGTGAACTTAAAATGTTATAGAGCCCCTAGCATCAGCAAGGAAGTTGTAGAAATGATAACGTTCCTTATGCTACAAGCCAAGTTTGTGTGTTGTAATCTATTGGGTACTCGCTAGAAAAATAGAAGAATATGTACCTAATAGGTGAATAGAGAGGAAATGGTGGGCTAAACAAAGAAAAATAAATTAATCTAAAAGATGGGAGGAAAAAAGAGGAAAGGGAACAAAAAAGAAGTTAAGCAAATGGAAAACAAATAGTAATGAAGTAGATAACACCAAATATAACAGTAATTACATTAAATGTTAACAAATTATGCCAATTAAAAGTCTAAGATTGTAAGATGGCATTTAAAAATATATGCTGCTTATAAAAGACATTTTAAATATAATGACACAGAATCACTGAATACGAAAGAATTTTAAAAGGTATACCATGCATACATAGACAAAAGAAAGCTGGTATAACTATTCCAATATTAGACAAAACTTCAAGAAACACCTACTAGAGATAAAAAGAAGCATTTTATAATGATCATAATGATAAAAGAAATAACCCACCAGTAAGGTGTCACAATCCCAAATACGTATGCACTCAAAAACATAGTTTTAAAATATGTAAAGCAAAAGTTAACAGAATTAAAAGAAGAACTAGAAATTCACAGTCATAGTGAGGACCTTAACACACCTCTCTTGAATGCTAACAGAAAAACAGGAAAAAAAGAAATCAGTATAAAAATATCAAATCACTATATTGTACACCTGAAACTAATATTGTATGTCAACTATGATTCAATTAAGAAAATAAATCTGCCCTGGCCAGGTAGCTCAGTTAGTTAGAGCATTGTCCTAATACTCCAAGGTTGAGGGTTCAATCTCCAGTCAGGGCACATACAAGAAACAACCAAAGAATGCGTAGATAAGTGGAACAACAAATTAATGTTTCTCTCTTTTTCCCCCTTCCTCTCTCTCTCTAAAATCAATAAATAAAAATAAAGAAATCAAAGAGAGAACTAAACAACCCAATTTTCTAATATGGTTATATATATACAGATATACAAATATATTTATTATGTATTTTATGTATATGTTATATATAGATAAGTATTTTATATATTACATATACATGAGTATAATACACATGATATATAACAAATATAAAAAAATATTTTCATGTAGTATCTATATATATAAATCTGTCATAAAAAAATGAGATAGGTGCAAAAAATCCTAAACAAAAAATCAAAAATTCAAGTTCAGCAATATATAAAAGGCATTATACATAACAACCAAGTGGGGTTTATTCCAGAAATGTGGTTTAACATTTAAAAATCAATTAGAGTAGTTCACCACATCAACATAAAAAGGAGAAATTATATGATCTCAACAGGTCAAAGAAACCAATGCTTGGTAAAATTCCGCACTCATTCATGATTTTTTTTTTTTTAAAAACAACCTAATAAAGAAGAGAACTTCCTTAATCTGGTAAATAATATCTAAAACACAACAAAACTAAATGCCAGCAAACATTTTATCTAATGGTGAATTATTGGAACTTTACTCCTCTGTCACCACTTTTATGCAGTAATGTACTAGAGTTTCTAGTCTGTGCAGTTAGCAAGAGAAAGAAATAAAATGATAAGGAATAGAAAAGAAGAAGCAAAATGTACATTGTTTACAAAAGACATAAATATGTACATAAAAAATCCAAAAGAAACTGTTATATTTAATAAGATAATTTATCAAGGTCACTGGATTCAAGATCAATATACAAAAAACAATTGCTTTTTCATATACCAGCAACAAACAAAAGGAAAATGAATTAAAATCATCATGTCATTTATAATGGCACCCAAACCAGTGGATATGTAGAAAGGAATCTAGTAAGGATGTGCAAGGCTTAAACACTACAAAATATTATCAAGAGAAGACCTAGTAAAGAAGACCTAAATAATTGGAGGGATATGCCATAGTCATGAATTGCAAGTCTTAATGTTGTCAAGATGTCAAATTCCTCCAAAATGATCTACATTTCTGTATAGATCCAATCGAATCTCTGCAGAACATGTCAATTCTAAAATTTACATGGGACTGTGAAGCCAGAACAACAACAAACAAACAAATCCAAGTTCATCTTGAAGAACAAACTGGAGGACTTAAACTATGAGATATAAAGACTTATTATAAAGACACAGAAACTGAGACAGTGAGACATAAGTGGAGGGATATCAGTAGAACATAATGGAGAGTCCAGAAACACATATAAAGCTATCTGACTTTTTACAAAGTTTATACTAGAGTGCAGTGAAAAAAGAATTATCTTTCTAGTAAATGGTGCTGGGTCAGTTGGGCATTCACATGGAAGAAAAAGTGAATACAGGCTCTCGTCTCACAACATTAACAAACACCAGTTCCAAAAATATTTAGGCCATGTGGCTTGGCCTTGTCTTCTATGACATTATGCTAGCTCACCTAGTCATTCAGCTTATAACTATAGTTATATAACACAAATTAGAAGATTTATAAATCATTTGTTAAATCTCAGACCTAATTAGTGAACATTTGGGACAAAAAATTTCATCTCAAGAAAAGTCATTTATCCGCGATGACTTCCAGTCTTGATGGAGGTGTAGGTAAACACAGTTGGCCTCCTGGCACAACCACAGCAGAAATTACAGCTAAACTACAAAACAACTATCACCCAGAATCATCAGAAAATTGAGCTGTATGAAAGTATGACAACCAAGGAATTAAATAAGTCACATTTATCCAGGCAGGTAGGAGGGACGGAAACCTGGAACAGGCAGCCCCACACCCATGTCTGGCAGATAAATCCCGTGCCAGGGACTTCTTGATGAGTGTCTCACAGAAGAGAGGATTCATTCATACTTTCTTGTGTAATGATGTTCAGCAGGGATTGCTGGTCTAGACATTGCTTGAATCCTTGACCAGAAATATGCTAGCTATTTCCAACTCATGACAGATTGGGGAGGGGGGGGGTCCCTGAAAATTGTGTTCCAAACGTTGTACATACATGTGCACATGCTTTCCTGCGGGAAAGGTCCTCGGTTTTCACCGTGTGGACTGCTGCCCAGTCCCCAGGGGTCTGTGTGCAAAATATGAAGCCCCTGAGGTCAGGAACGTTTGGGACCCTGGCGGATTGTTCTCATCTAGTCCGGCGGGCTTCAGGGTGGCTTTGGTCTTACCTCCCCGGCGCGGACCCCTCGCCCGGAGGTCCAGCCTCGCAGCTTCAGCCCCGTAGCTCGGGCGCTGGGCAGAAGGGGCAGCGTCCGGGCTGGCGGGCGGCGAGTGGGTGACAACTTGCCGCCCTCCCCGGAGGACTTGGGCTGCTGGCGAGCTGCCCGAGGGGAAGGAGTGGGTGTGGTGACCGCAATCCGCTTGAACGGCGGATCCCTTCGGAAAAGACAGATCCGCCCCGACTCGCAGCCTTGAGAGGGAAGGTAAATCTGGCGGAGGCCCGTAGGAGTCGCGTCGGTGTATCTCTCTTGCAGCGAAGGATGAGGCTCACCATCTGTGCCCTGCTGTGCGCGGGGGCCCTGGGTGAGTGGCACACCGGGAGTGAGGGCCGGCCCTCCAAGGCCTGGGACTGGGTTGCTTGCCCAAGGTTGGCTGTAGCGAGACACTGCACTGCCTGGGTCTAAGGAACCCCACAGCAGCCTAGCGCCTGGCTGGCACACAAATGCCTTGCGCCTACGGATGCACCCTGGCACCTGACCAACTTTTGTCCTGGCGGAAACCCTTTAGCGTAGGTAGGGTTGGGGTTCACAAACCATGACCAGCTGTCAATACCCCTCTGCCGCCTGATGTTGTACAGCATCAGGACCAGCTAAGAAAGTTTGAATGGTTGAAAGACAGTCAAAAAAATAGTTTTGACATATGGAAGTTATATGAAATTCAGATGTCAGTGACCATAAATAAAATTTTATTGGAACACAATCATGCTCTTTCAGGCATATGTTGTCCATGGTTGCTTTCAGGCTTCAAGGGTAGAGTTAAGTCGTTGCCACAGAGACTGTGTGGCCTTAAATATTTACTTTGCTCATTATGGAAAAAAGTTCATGACCCCTGATCTAGAGGCTGTTGATCCCCTTTACAGTGAAGGAAACTGGCACAGAGGATAAGGAACTTTCCCAGGGCTCAAGGGTCATTATTAAGATGGATTAAGAGGGAGGGGCACATGTCAGTTGTGCTTGACTTGTCAGGTGTCTAACCAGAGGATCTTTCCTGCTCCTAACTGTACAACACCTCCCATCCCTACCTCACATTAGGGAGGTAGAGGAATGTGGGGGGAAAACAACCACCCTAGAATGGGATCCACCTGCCACTCAGTGCTGTGTGACTCTAGGTTGTCCCTTCACCTCTCTGAGCTGCTTTCCTCATTAGTTCAGTAGGAATTGTTTTTTTCACAATAAGTACACAGTTGCTGTGAAAGTGAAATGAGATAATATGTCAAATGGCAGAGCTCTAGACACAGATGAGTTATCTAACTGGTAAATATCCTGTACAAAAGTGTAGGGGTCACTGTCCTGTGTTATGGGGTGGGCAGGGCCTTTGGCTGGGTAACTGTACAGAAGGTAATGGTGCAAAGTCAATGAGCTCAGGCATATGCAGAACCCTCCCTGGCTCAACAATGGTTGGTTCAATCCAGCCCTGGTTCTATAAGGTGTAAAAGCTGTCTTAAATCCTTTCTAGAGTGGGGTATTTTATATGGGGGGATAGGTAATCTGGGTGGGGCAGAGGAAAGAGAAGGCAGGAAAGACAAGGAGGGCTATGGTGGGCCCTTCCTGGCCCAGTCCTGCCACACAGGGCCTCACAGTGGGCTCACCTGAGGCTGGGGAGCGGGGAAAGGCAGAGTACAGCTGTGGTCCAGCTATCTACGGTCACAGGGAAATCCAGAGTGTACCCTGCCCCTTGGTCCGTCCCAGATTCTTTCTGAACAGGGCCTGTGTGGTTTGTTCTTCCTCTGTCTTCTCTCCTGGCAATGTCAGGGGCTAACCAAAAGTTCCCTTTTCCAATTCGTTCTGCTTTTACAAACCAGAGGCAAGAGTTGCCTCCCCTTTTCTTGTCCCCAGCCTCAGAATGCAGTGGCATCTGCATTCATGGACAGGAGGGGGAGGAGGACAGGACAGAGAGGATGTACCTTCAGGTCCCTTCAGAGGGTGCTGCTGTGTCTCCCACTGTAACAGGGACCTCTGGCCTTTCTCTCCTAGGGCTGTGTCTCGCTGTCCCCAGGGAAACTGTGAAATGGTGCACCATCTCAAGTCATGAGGCCAGTAAGTGCTCCACTTTCCGTGACAGTATGCAGAAAGTCTTTCCTCAGAGTGGTCCTGTTCTCTCCTGTGTGAAGAAAACCTCCACCATTGACTGCATCAAGGCCATCGCGGTAAGTCACTGCTGCCTAAGGGAGCGTGGAAGACCACCCATACTTTCTGTTGCTCCTGGTGCTTCTTTAATCTGTACTCACATAGAGGAGGCTGATGTGTGGGGCAGTCAACCCCCACTGTTAATAAAATCACTTGAGAAACGGACATAGGAGCAGCCATCTTTAACAAGTAAGTTTTAAAGCCAAATCCAATGTGCTCTGAAAGAGGACTATTTTGAGGCACTAAGTTCTCTGAATTCAGGGAAAAAACAAGAATGCTATCAAACTGATCATATAACATTGCTTAGAAGTTCTTGATACATCATGAGAAGCAGGTGAATGATGTTCGCAGGGAGGAGGAATACGGTGTCAGGGTTGCAGATGACCGCTGAACCCTTTGTTTTCTAGGTTTTCCAAAATCCTCTTCACTCCTTCAACATTGTTCCTGCTTACTTGAACCTGTCAGAGGTTGCGCTAGGCAATGCGGCTGCAGTGAATTTAAACACACGTGGTCCTTACTCTTGAGGAGCTTACAGTCTAGTCAGGAGAAAAGAAAAGTATACAAACAATAGGACATGTAATTTCAAACTGTGTGACGAACAATGAAGGAGAAAAGTAGAAAACTCTGACAGAGTACTGGGTGTCAGAGACATCTCCCTGTGAGGGAACAATGAAGCTGAGACCCCAGGAATGAGCGTGGGCAGGCCAAGAACCACAGTATAATACTCCAGGCCATGAACAGCATGTGCAAAGGGCCTGAGACAGGGGAGAGCTGGGCTTGTTTGAGTTGCTGTAGGAAAGCCAGGGTGACAGAGAAAAGCAAGGAGACGGGAAGGAGCCATAATGTGGGAGAAGTAGATTCAGTCAGATGGAGCTTGATTAACTCAAGGAATCAGCGATTTGATATAAACAACTCATGTGTTCGGTTTGTTTTTGTGTTCAAATTGCACCTTGGTTACTATCATGGCTTAATTATAACCCCTGAATTATGACATAAGTTCAGGTTTGGTCTATGCATGCCCTTCTTTATTTTTAAATGTGTTAATAATATAAAATAATATTATCCGCAAACTCACCACAGGTTCTTAACACTTCATTCTCACCGATAGCTTACGTCCATAGGGCTGCTTTGCGGCAGCTCTGGGTTCCATGGGAATGGTGACCCTTGGGGTGGTGTAACCCTCTGGCCCTCCTTACAAGGACCTATGTGTTTCCCCTGCCTGAGAGAACAGAATCCTAAGAGTTTTCTGCCTTTTATTTTAGTTTTAAGACTTACATGGGTATGTGTGAATGATAGTCTTGCTTCTTAAAAAAATTTTATAAATGTGACATTATTATGTATTGTCTTCTGATACTTGTTTTTTTCTCCTCAGTATTATGCTAAGACTCAGCCATGTTGTTGAATACAGCCATTGTTCATTCATTTTCAGGTCTACAATAGTCCATTATGTTAGTATACCACAGTTTATTTGTTCTTTTTGGTCACTAGGCATTTGCACTGTTTCCAGTTTTTTTGTTATTCTAATGAGTGCTGGGGGAATATTCTTATACAAATCTTCTGGGACACAAATATTAAAAGTTCCTCTTGCATATATATGTGAAGCAGAATTATTGAGCCATGGGATATATGATTATTAGACTTTTAAGACAATGACAAATGTATTTGATTTTTAAGCAAACCCAATGTTGTTTTGATTTCCACTTCCACCAGCAGTGTGTGAGAGAATAATCCATAGCATTCTTCATGAATTTGATATCTTATCATTATGAGGTCCTCTCTCTCTGGTCGTGCTTTTTCACTAAATTCTGATACACACATACCACATCAACTTTCTTTGGTTAGTATCCTCCTGTACCTTTTTCCATTCCTTTATTTTCAACTTTCTGTGTGCTTATGCTTCACCTGTATCTTTTGAAAACTGCATACTGCTGGAATTTGTTGATTAATGCAATCTGAAAACCTCATTTGTTTTATGTGGTAGGTTAGACCATTAATAATTATTGTTATTGATTGACTTGGGGTGATGAACACACAATACAGTGTACAGATGATGGGTTTTGGAATTATGCACCTGAAATCTGTATAATTTTGTTAACTGGTGTCACTCCAATAAATTCAATAAAAAAGAAAAAAATTGTTACTAATAAATATCTACTTCTTTCTGACATATTTATATATGTGTGTGTTTATGTGCATGTTTGTACACATGTGTCCATGTATGTATTATATATGTGTATATGTACATATATACAAAAACTTAGAGGGAAAGAGACAGAGAGAGAGAATATTTGGATTAACTTACATTTTTGCCATTTAACCTGTTCACCATTCTTTCTCATATTTCAGAATACTTTTTCAGACATGTTTCCTTCTTGAAATACATTTTTTTGGTGATTCTTTAGACTGAATCTCTTGGTGTTAAACTCTGTCAGCTGCTGTTTGTTTTCTCTGCAAATGCTTTAATCTCCCCCCTTATTCTTGAGTGGTAATTTTGCTGAATGTATAATTCTAGCTTGACATTTTTACTGTGTTTTAAAATATTATTCCACTATCTCCCAACTTCCGTTGGAGTCATTGAGAAGTATGGTTTGTTCTGTCATTTCTCAGTCGTCTTCTCTCTGAATAATTTTAAGATTTCATTTTCTTGGTCTGTGATGCTCCACAGATTTACATTGGTATTTCTAGTTGTGGAAATCTTGGTACTTACCCTACTTAGGGTATACTCAATCTGTGGAATCATGTTTTTCATCAGTACTAGAAAACTTGCAGCCCTTTTATCTTTTTAAAAACTACCTTTTATTTAGTCTCTCCATTCTTTCTTTTGTAATCTAGATTCTGAGATGCCTTTTCAAATCTAGCCTTTATATGTTTTAATCATTCAAAGTTATTCTATCATCTGCACCTCTTTTTGGCAGCATCCAGGATAAATTCTTCAGAAATGGTTTCCACTTTACTAATTCATACTTTATTTATTTATTTATTTATTTATGTTGCTGCTTATATTTCTTTTTTCTTATTTTTTAAATTTTTAACTAAAAAATTTTTTTATTCCTTACCATATACCCCCGCCCCTTTGTCAACCATCATCTTGTTCTCTATATCTGTGGGTCTGAGTCTTTTTGTTGTTTATTAATTTATTTAGTCTTTTTGGATTCCACATATAAGTGAGATCATATGGTATTTGTCTCTCCCTGACTTATTTCACATAGCACATTATCCTCTAGGTCCATTCATGTTGTCTCAAATAGCAAGATTTCATTCTTTTTTATTGCTAAATAATATTCTTTTATTATAATATTATTTTATATTACTTATATATAAAACAAATTACTTACACACACACAACATCTTTATTCATTCATCTATTAATGAATATCTAGGTTGCTTCCATATCTTGGTTAGTAGTAATGCTGCAATGAACATAGGGGTACATATATCTTTTCAAATTAGTGTTTTTGTTTTATTCAAATAAATTCCCAGAAGTGGAAATGATGGGTTGTATGGCAAGTCTATTTTTAATTTTTTGAGGTATCTCCATACTGTTGTCCATAATGTCTGCAATGAGGCACAATCCCACTAACAGCATACGAGGGTCCCCTTTTCTTCATATCTTCATCAGCACTTCTTCCATTTGTTGATTTACTGATATCCATTTTGACAGGTGATATCTCATTGCGATTTTAATTTGCATTTCCCTGATGATTAGTGACATTGAGCATCTTTTCACATGTTACTGGCAATCTCTACATTCTCTTGGGAGAAGTATATATTCAGGTCCTCTGCCCATTCTTAAATTGGATTGTTTGTTTTTTGATGTTAAGTTGTATGAGTTATTTATATATTTTTTAGTATTAACCCTGTATTGGACATATAATTTTGAATGTCTTTTCCCATTGAGTCAGTTGCTTTTTTGTTTTGTTGATGATTTCCTTTGCTGTGCAAAAAACTTGTTAGTTTTATGTAGCCCCATTAGTTTTGTTCTTTTTTCTTTTCATTTATTTTTTAATATGTTTTATTGGTTATGCTATTACAGTTGTCCCATTTTTCCCTCCCCTTTTTTCCCCTCCATCCTACACCATCCCACTTCCTCACATTTCCCTCTGCCCCCTCGCTTAGTTCATGTCCATGGGTTGTACATATAAGTTCTTTGGCTTCTCCATTTCCTATACTGTTCTTAACCTCCCCCTGCCTATTTTGTACCTACTCTTTATGCTGCTTATTCCCTGTACCCTTTCCCCCATTCTTCTCACTCCCCCTCCCCTCTGTTTTACTGTTCATAGTATTTGGTCTTCTTTCTCTTAGATAAGTCCCTTTAATATTTTACATAATAAGGACTTGGTGATGATAAACTCCTTTAACTTTACCTTTTCTGGGAAGCACTTTATCTGCCCTGCCATTCTAAATGATAGCTTTGCTGAATGGAGTCATCTTGGATGTAGGTCCTTGCTTTTCATGACTTTGAAAACTTCTTGCCAGCCCCTTCTTGCCTGCAAGGTTTCTTTTGAGAAATCAGCTGGTAGTCTTGTGGGAACTCCTTTGTAGGAAATTTTCTCCTCTTGCTGCTTTTAAATTTCACTCCTTATCTTTAATCTTGGGTAATGTAATTTTGCTGTGCCTCGATGTGTGCATCCTCGGGTCCAACTTCTTTGGGACTCTGAGCTTCCTGGATCTCCTGGAAGTCTATTTCCTTGGCCAGAGTAGGGGAGCGCTCCTTCATTATTTTTTTAAATAAGTTTTCAATTTCTTGCCCTTCCTCTTCTCCTTCTGGCACTCCTATGATTTGGATGTTGGAACATTTGATGTTGTCCCAGAGGTTCCTAAGCCTCTCCTCATTGTTTTGAATTCTTGTTTCTTCCTTCTGTTCTGATTGAATGTTTATCTCTTCCTTCTGTTCCCAATCATTGACTTGAGTCCCGGTTTCCTTCTCTTCACTGTTGGTTCCCTGTATATTTTTCTTTATTTCACTTTGAATAACCTTCGCTTTTTCCTCCATGTTGTGACCATACTCAACCAATTCAGTGATCATCCAGATTACCAGTGCTTTGAACTATTCATCTGATAGGTTGGCTATCTCTTCATCACTTAGTTCTAATTTTGAACCTTTGATCTATTCTTTCATTTGGGCCATATTTCTTTGTCTCTGCATGCCTGGTACGTTGGAAGTGGTGGAGCCTTAGGTATTCACCATGGCAGGGCAACCCACTTCACTGCGTTATAGCAGTGTATGTGGGGAGGGGTCTGAGAGGGAACGATGCCACTTGCTTGGCTCTTGGCTGGCTTTCAGTCACTTCCCCACTACCCACAAGCAAATTGGGCCCCTCTAGTGCTGATTCCCGGATGGGTGGGTTTGTGTATGTTCTAGGACCCTGTGGGTCTCTCCAATGAACTCTCCTGTGAGGCTAGGAGTTTCTCCTGTCATCGCAACCCCTACAGATTTTTACCTCCAGAAGTTTTGAGACTTTTTTTCCTGCGCTGGATTCCTGGAGTCTGCTGTCTTGCTCCCCAGCTGCTTCTTTGGTTTATCCACATGCAAATGTGGGACCACCCAGTCTGCCAGCTGCTGCCTTGTCACAAGTCCTCACCACCCTGGCTGCCCATCTCTGCCCCTCCTACGGGTCTGGATGAACGTTTCTTCTTTAGCTCCTTGGTAGTCAGATTTCCATACAGCTTGATTTTCTGGCAGTTTGGTTATTTTTTGTTTTTAAATTTGTTGTCCTTCTTTTGGTTGTACAAGGAGGCAAAGTGTATCTACCTATGTCTCAATCTTGGCTGGAAGTCTGTTTTTTTTCTCTTATTTCCCTTGCTTGAGGAGGTGTACCCTTGGGGACACACAATTCAACCCCAAACACAAAAAAGATATTGCTAGGAGCGATGTCAAAGAGTTTCCTGTCTATGTTTTATTTTAGGAGTTTTATAGTTTCAGGTCTAACATTTAAGTCTTTAATTCGTTTTTAGTTTATTTTTGTATAGTCTAAGAAAGTAGTCCATTTTAATCTTTTTGTGTGAATCTGTCCAGATTTGCCAACACTGCTTATTGAAAAGACTGTCTTAACCCCATTGTATATTCTTAAACTTTTTGTCACAGATTAATTGACGATATAAATGAGGATTTATTTCTGGACTCTTTATTTTATCCCATGGATCTATTGATGTGTTTTTATGACAGTACCATACTGTTTTGATTATTGTAACTTTGCAGCGTAGGTGAATATCAGGGTGTGTGATACCTCCCAATTTGTTCTTTCTCAAGATTTTTTTGTTATTAAGTGGCTATTCAGAGTCTTTGTAGTTCCATACAGATTTTAGAATTAGTTGTTCTAATCCTGAGAAGAAACCATTGTTATTTTAATAGGGACTGCATTAAATCTGTATATTACTCTAGGTAGTAAGGATATTTTAACAACATTAATTCTTCCTATTCATGAGCAAGGTATATCCTTCTATTTATTTTTATCTTGTTCAATTTCATTCTTCAATGTCTTATAATTTTCATAATATAGGTCTTTTACCTCTTTGGTTAAATTTATTCCTAGGTATTTTATACTTTTTGATGAATTTTAAATGGGATTGTTTTCTTAACTTCTTCTCCTGATCATTATTGGTAAATAGAAACACAACAGATTTCTGTGTATTGATTTTGTATCCTGCAACTTTACTGAAGTCATTTATTAATTCTAATAGTTTTTTAGACTTTAAACATGTTTAGTCAAGTGTTGCCCATTCATTCACTTTTTGCTTTCAATAGTTATATTTTGGGCTCTAGAAGTGTCAGTTGAATTTTTTTCTTTTTATACTTGGTAATTTTCTATTCCATGCTTACCCCTGTGATTATAGCCTTTACTTTGTACATAAAACTAAATACCACATAGGAACCTCTTCTCCATTACATCTGACTTTTTCCAACCTCCACAATCCTTGAAGACCCAAGTTTGTTCATACCCATGCATTATGCCTTACCCTACTCTGGATTTGGTTATCCACACCTGGGAGGTCAAGTTTGATTTTAATCCACCCTCTCCTGCTGGTTCAGGTTCCGCTCAGAATTTGCTCTAGTGGACCCCAAGAATTGGGTGCTGGCTGCTTGGTTCCTGAGTCCCTGAGGCTCCAGTGATTCCTGCCTGGGATTCTGGTGTCTTGTTCAAGAAAGACCCAACCTCACTGCCCTTGGAAAAACTTTTGTTTATTTCCTTATTTCTTTTTATTCTACAGTGGGGATGGTGTGGAGAGTCTCTGGGGTTTGACCTACCTTTTGTGATTCCAAGAAAGCCTTAAGATTGTTTCATATCTGATGTCTTGGGGAATGAAAAGATCATTCACTACTGTGAATGTATTTAGTGGCACTGAGATGTACACTTAAAAATGGTTCAATGCTAAATTTTATGTTATGTATTTTATTACAATAAAGCAACAGCCAAACCCCAAAATTAAAAAGAAAAGTTTCAGGTAAACAAATATTTAGTTTGAATTACATTATTATTTTATTTCATTGAAAAATTGTATCATTTATTTTTTTAAAGATTTTATTTATTTATTTTTAGAGAGGGGAAGAGAGGGAGAAACAGAGAAACATCGATGTGTGGCTGCATTTCACACACCCCCTGCTGGGGATCTGGCCCGCAACCCAGGCATGTGCCCTGCACTGGGAATTAAACTGGTGACCCTTTGGTTCGCAGGCCAGCATTCAATCCACTGAGCCACACCAGCTAGGGCTGTAGCATTGATCTTACTGCTTGACTATAACATGACACAAATCATGGCGCTACATATAGCTTTTGCCTTATATTTTAATCAATAAAAACTATTCACAGACTACTAGCAGGGGTTTCTAGAAAAATCATTTTGACTAAAGATGGTTGAAGCAAGAAAGAAGGCAATACAATTTGTTATTAGGGTCTATATAAAAAAGTGCTTCTGTTTAAAAGAATAAATTCTAGATGTAGCGGAAAGGCACATATAATATTTCAAGTGAAATATTAGTTTAAGGTTGATTTTTAGTAGGAGCAGAAATTTAAAAAAAAAAACAATAAAACAGAAACCCTAGTAAGTAATAGAGTAACGGAAGTAATAAACCTATACGGCCTGAATTCATATCCCAGTTCCATGGCTTACTAGCTACGTGGCCTGAGGAAGTGACTTAAACTTTCCGTGTCACTATTTTTTAATGTATAAAATGCAGCTCAGCTGGACTCTGGTGAGCTGTGACATGTCTGAGCAGTCCAGCAAATGAACAATGAGCCATAATGGAAGTAATGATCATTTAGTACTTAGTTCAGAGTAAAGCAAGAGTTAAAACCCAGAGAAACGCTAAATCCATGCATGAAAGACTCCTGCAGTTATACGGACCCAGGGCAGGAGGGTACACTACTGAACACTGAAGCAGACTGGGAGTATCATCAAATCCCCACTCGCCCATAAGGGGGGCTTCACAGTGACTTCCAAGAAGGCCTCAGCAGGAGGACCGAGACGAAGAGGTCACCAGAAGGAAGCACCTGGGTTCTCAGTGTAAACACGTGTAAAAGCATGGCCAGGCAGGCGGACCCGAGGCATTGACTGCAACTTCTTTCAGAGCCTGCAGTGCATGCATGGGCTGTGCGCCCCATCTGGAGCGGGGAGGGCAGCTTTCCCCCACGAGGCCTGCTAGGAAAAGCTTGTATAACTCAGGTGATCCTAAAAGATCACAAATGATTTTCTGGGCCAGGAGCCAGGCTTCTCATCGGGGGAAAAAATAATCTATTCCTTCCTCTATGTGGGAGCAATAGGAATATGGCAACCAAATTCCCTCACCAGGGCGCTGGAGCCAAATGAAGCTTGGTTTAGTGTGTGATGTGGCCAAGCTGATGGTTTCCGGTCCCAGATCCAAGAAGCCTTGTCAGTTGCCCCCACTCACCTGGGTTAGGTGGGCTTTCATAGAAGGGAGGGCTTCACTGGTGTTCGGTCTGTTTCCTTTCAGGCAAATGAAGCAGATGCTGTGACACTGGATGGAGGTTTGGTGTTTGAGGCGGGTCTGGCTCCCTACAATCTGAAACCTGTAGTGGCAGAGTTCTATGGCTCCAAAGAAGGTACGTTTCCCTGGGAAACCTGGAGGCAGTTTGTGGCCATTGTTCTCCCCTGAGAGACGCTTGTTCTCTCCGGGTAGACTCTTGTTTTCCTTAGTCAGGTGACAGAAGAGTGAGTGGGCAATGAGGTGCCCTCCTGGCCACCACAGGCACAACTCGAGGCCTCTCTGCCTTTAGGCAGGTTGAGGACTGGTGCTAACACTGACCTCCTGGGCCAGGAAAGGGGCTCCCTGGAGAAACAGAGCAGGCTGGGCACAGCCAGACCTGAACCATTCGGGTTCAGAGCTGTAAAGAGAAGTCTCCAAGAACCACGGGTGCCTCATTCACAGGAGAGACCACGCTGGAGCACACACTTGGAGTCCCAACAGCCTTGTGTCTTTTCCGAGAGTAACCGGACTATCCCTGGGCCTGTGACAGGGGACAGGAAATAGTTGGAGTCAGGAATGTGGCCTCCGTGCCACAACTCCAGTTTCCTGGTAGGCTCGGGCTGGTAGATGTAGGCAGACAACCCGCAGGGCCAGGGTAGGAAAAATCATTCAGGGCACATGTGCACGTGGCTTCTTGCCCGTGCTTGCCTGGAGGGTTATTACAAATGTCCCCTCTGTGGTCCTTTCTTTCCCTTCCAGCCTAGGAAACTCATCCTGATCCCTCCCTCTTTATGACCCAACCCAACATAAGACCCTAGTCAGGAGCCCAGCAGTGTTGAGCAGTGTTTCCCTGAGGCCCAGGTTGCTGGTCTTCCATTCACACTGTGTCTGCAGATCCACAAACCTTCTACTATGCTGTGGCAGTGGTGAAGAAGGGCAGCGGCTTCCAGCTGAACCAGCTCAAAGGCAAGAAGTCTTGCCACACGGGCTTAGGCAGGTCCGCAGGGTGGAATATCCCCATAGGCTTACTCTACCCGGAATTGCCTGAGCCACGTGAGCCTCTTCAGAAAGGTAAGCGGGCAGGAGGGTGAGCGTCCTCAGGCAGACGTCCCTTCTGTAGGTTCCCACGTAGTCCAGCCTGAGGTCACGCAGACAGGATCAGGTGTCACGTGTGATGACTCCTGGGGTGGAGGTGGGAGGTTAACCAGCTTTAGACTGGCCAGGTCTGCTCTACCAGCAGCGCTTGGGAGCTGTCAGCTGAGTTTTAGCTCTCCACAGCCCAGCGGAGGCTGTTTGGAGGAGTGGGCGCAAGAGCATCAGGCTTGACAGAGGGTTCCGGCAGGTCCAAGGTCACTGGGCCCTCGTGTCCACTCCCTGGGGTGCTTTCCTTTCTGTGGCTCATGGGTTTCCCATTCTGCTGGAGCTCTCTCTGGTGGCCATCTGCTGGCCATGCAGGCCTGCACCTGCCCAGCCGGGTCTGGCATCTTCTGGGCAGGGCTTCCAGAAGAGACCTCTCTGAGCTGTTCCAATCTGACAAGGCAGGTGGGGAGCTGACAGCGACCTGAGACAGGCCTTTGCTGGTGGCAGGCACAGTCCTAATTCTGGGGAAGGGCAGGGAAAGGACAGGGATTATTAACCCATCCCCCTTTGAACCCCTGATCTTGAGGTGGCAGCATTCCTAAAGGCCAGCTGGGGCTGGTATGCTGGTTTTGCTCTGGTCACTCTCAGTTCACTCATGAGCCTGGGCTGGGAGCTGTAATTGTCTCTGGCCAGGCTGGCTCATGCCCTTTTTTCCACTTCTCTGTGTTGAGCAGCAGTGGGCAATTTCTTCGCGGGCAGCTGTGTCCCCGGTGCGGATGGTTCAGCCTTTCCCAAACTGTGTCAACTGTGTGCGGGAAAAGGGCCCAACAAGTGTGCCTTCTCTAACCACGAACCATACTTTGGCTTCTCGGGTGCCTTCAAGTGAGTGAGACTCCTTGCTCCACCCCCTCACTCTGAAGATGGTGCAACTAAGGCGCAGGGAGTAGACAGGGCTGCCCCAGGCCACCTCCAGTGTCTGGGTCCTGAGTGCTTCCTAACCATCCTGTGGAACAGTTTTCTGTGTGGGAGCCCCTCTCATCTCCCCAAAGCCTGAGGTCTGCCTATGTTACCCTCCTGGACCCTCCTGGAAGGTGGAGGGGTAATCCGGCCCTGGGGCTCTGGGATCCACAGACACAGGCTTGGACTCCTAGCTGGGTTAAAGGCCAGGACCTCCCAGTTTGCTTCCTTCTGCCTGAGCATCTCCCTATGTCGGCGGCATGTGCTTGCCTCTCCCTACATCTCTCTCAGCCCCATGAAGGAACCTCTCCCGACTCCATGCGTAGTAAGAGAAATGGCTACCACTCAAAACTAAAGCCAAATTGGCTAGGGATCCAAGGCTATCCAGAGTTTTTATTCTATATGTTATTTTTTTTAACATTTATTTTTTAAAAAATCTATTGCTTTTGGCTGCTTTGAAGAGGGAGGTGAGGGTCTTACTTTCACACCATTCCTCCCCAGAGCTGCCCTGGGATGTGGCTTGCAGGGCTCCTACCTGCTTCCGGCCTGGGCTCGGCTGTGGGGCTCCAGAGCCTGTGGCTGGGGCAGAACCTCAGAGGGGGCGCGTGGGGGAGGGCGAGGCCCTGTCTTGGAGAGTGGCCTGACTACAGCTGTCTTGTTCCTCAGGTGTCTGCAGCACGGTGTGGGGGACGTGGGCTTCGTGAGTCATATGACCGTGTTAGGTAAGTGCTGGATAGAGCGAGAATCCTGTGTGTCACACCCTGGCTGGGGGTACTGGTTGTTTCCTGAAAGTTTCCCTATGTCTAGAGGTGGGTGATGACAAGATCTTTGATGAACTAGGAGAGTTTCTGTATAAAAATAATTTTGTTATTTGTACACCGTTTAGTGCTCTATTTGTTCAGTCTGTAAATCTACTAAACAAATTTTCTGAACATTTAAACATTACTTAACACCTAGTAAAACATACTGAGCTTCAATAATAAAATTTTCTTAGTCACTGAAATATCTATTTCAAATGTAATCACATTCTACTTATAATAAACAGCTCCTAAATGCTTTGAATACCTTCAGCAAACATACAAATCATCATAATTATTTCAGAATTTATTGACACATGTACAATTAAATCTGTTGTAAAAGCATTATTACCATGGACAAAAATGTATTCCTTCTTTATTTCTATATTTAAAAAAAAAATCTTTCCCGAGTTTTGAGTAATTTATCAGAAACAAACAAAATAGTTTTTTCAGATACGCTGAGGTTACAGATTTTGGGTTTTGTAACCCATTAAATTTCTATCAGATACAGAACACACTTGTACCACTTAAGACATTTAAAACCAAGTGTATATTCACTATGCTAGGTTCATTTGAAAATTAATGTCTGCTAACTCAAGGAAAATTTTAAGTCCTTACTTTTCACATGGGCTTTAGTTCTTCCTTACGTAGTTCTTTCTCTAACACAAAATAGGAGTTTCCTGTGTTTTGTTCTCTTGTTTAGCCATTTACAATTCACAGTCTCCTCATTACTACACATTGACCTGGTTTGTTAGCATTTTAGTAATTGATGCATAGCTTATAATCAATAATTTTAATTAGAGGGGTCATCTATAGTTTTCATCTCACAGGAGCAAGTTTTTCCAAATAATTGTCATTGTTATCTTCTCTGGTTGCTCAAGTTACTATGGTTACGTTAGAGAAGAGTATCTTCAAACACTCACCCTGAAGTATCTGAAAACATCCTCACTTTCTGAAACAACAGGTTGTCCCAGACCATCCTGATTTATCTTTGCTGAAAGTCACTTGTCTGCTATGATACCACACCCCTTATAAAGGTAGAAGTTTATGAGAGACTGTCTACTGGGTTTTAGAGGTGAAAATGAATGTTGGTGGTAAGTGACTGAGGTGGAAAAGTTATTTCTTTCTGAAACTATAGGATCATAGTAAATCTTTTAACTTAATTCTAACATTACTAAATCATTTTACATTTTTTAATATAAAGATTTAAAATGTATTTTCTCTATGACACACCCAGTTAAAACTGTAACACTCACAAGAACTCTAATTGTAACTCCTTCTCTTTTGCGATTTTATCAACCCCAAAGACTTTTTATATGAGTTTGCTAGGGCTGCCATAACGAAGTATCTATTTATGCAACAGAAATTTGTTGTCTCATAGTTCTAGAGGCAAAGTTCCAAAATCAAAATGTTGGCAGGGTTGCTTTCTTCTGAAGATTGTGAGAGAGAATCTGCCCCATGATTTTCTCCTAGCTTCTGGTAGTCTGCTGGCAGCCTTCAGTGCTTCTTGGCTTCTCGTCACGTCCCCCCGAGTCTTTGTCTCTCTTTTCACATGGCATTCCTTCTGTGTGCATGTCTGTCTGTGCCCAAATTTCCTCTTTTTATAGGGGCACCAGTCATAATGGAGTAGGAGTCCACCCTACTCCAGCATGACCTCATCTTAACTAATTATATCCGCAATGACTCTATTCCTAAATAAGGTCACATTCTGAGGTCTTGGGGGTCAGGACTTCAACATGTGAATCTTGGGAGAGGCCTACAATTCAACCCACAACATCTTTTAATTACTAAATGGGAACTAAAGAGCTTGTTTTTCTTACAAGGTTTTCTGGTCCTTCTCTGTCCCTACAGAACACCCTGACTGGGCTCCTCAGCCTCTGTCCATCCCCTGACTCTTCCGCCACCTTTCCCTGGTGGGCTCTGCCTTCAGGGAAGTGTTGCAGAGTGGGGGACCTGGATTGTCCTAGCATGGCCACGTGTCAGCCTCAGATTAGTGAGGTGGATGAGTTAGTTCATCTCTCTGCGGTTGTTCCTTCTTCTCTAGAATGGGATAGTCACATCACTGGCCTCCCCCAGCTGTTATGAGGATTGAATGACAAAGAACGTGGAGAGACTTCAGCACAGTCTTGGGTGTGCTATGAGTGCTCAGCAAACATTTGCTGTCACCTTTCATATTAGCAGAGCCATAGGGATGAAGGACAGTGGGTGAGCCTCAGGCCAAGCATTCCTCCCAGCCCTGTCTGTCTGCAATGAGAGCCAGCCATTGCATCTCCTTTGGCCTCAGGTTCCTCATCTGTAGAAAATGTATTTGAAGATTCTCTTTCACTCCCCTTAGGATTGTTAAGAGAATGATTAAATAAAACTATTTTGGTGACATAAACACACTTTATTAATGCTTCGTGAAGGGGGCAGCCTCCATTTGGAAAAGGGCAAAATGAAGAGGAGCATTAGAAAGCTTTTATAGGACAAAGACTAAAGAATAAGGAAGAGACACACAGGAAATATCTGATTAGCTGGGGCCATGTCATCAACCTTGTTTGGGGTGAGAAAGAACAAAGAAAGAAGTATAGAGCCCACAGCCAGATTGGCATTTGAGTTGGATTAGCTGGATAGTACACTTCTGGTCAAGCAGAGCAGTACAGGGACATGAAAGTTACCTAATTTTTGGTTTGTTAACGTGACATGCTGGGCAGGAGCGGCTCCATCTTGGGCCTAGAAAACTGTTTCAGCAAGGTCAAGTCGTTGTGAATCAGTGAGGAGGAGGGACCACAGCTGATGGCTCTGCCTGCATTCTGTTGGCTCTTCTCGGCTTTCTTTCCCCAGAGACGTTTGCAAACCAGGCTGACAGGGATGGGTATGAGCTGCTCTGCAGAGACAACCTCCGGAAGCCAGTGGACAAATATAAGGAGTGTCACCTGGGCAGAGTCCCTTCCAGTGCAGTCGTGGCCCGAAGCGTGGGTGGCAAGGAGGACTTGATCTGGGAGCTTCTCAACCAGGCCCAGGTACGAAATCCACTGCTCTCTCTCTGCCTTAGGAGCCTCCGGTTGGATGTGGGGCATGTTCCTTCGTTCTCTTACAGCCATTCTAGAAGTCCTGGGTTCAGGACACTGCAGGAACAGCAGCACACATCCTCCTCTTCACTAACAAGCCACTCAGTCTATAAATGTTAGAGACAGCAGAGGCCATAAAACCCTTGCCTGCCATCATCGACTTCATGGGCCAAAGACTCTGCAGAGGTTCCTCATTGCCCCGTTGTATTCTTTTCAGTTCTAAATGGGTTCTCAGGATGCAGTGCACGTTGTCCTGCTGCCATGAAGTGTTCCCGTGACCCCACAGGCACGGGATCCCACCCTCCTGACTTCCCTCAGTGGCTGTCACCTCTCCATGAGCATCCCTTTCTCTTTCCTGCATTGGTGGCAGTCTTTCCTAGTCTGTCCTCACTCATTAGCCAGTCCCAGACCTGTCGGAGCTGTTTGCTCAGCACTGGGCATTCAGAGAGGAATTAAACAAAGCCCTGCCCTTGAGTTGCTCACAAAGAAAGTGGACACATAGAAATGATCACCAGATGGGATGGCACAACCTCGGAGACATGGAGTATGTACTTCACAGAGGATGGAAAGACTGCTTTGCTGGGTGTATCTAGGAAGAGTCCTGGGCCCCGAGGAATAGGCTGTGTGCACACCAAGGGAGTGTGGAGGTTTGCCAGAGAAGGCAGCAGGTGACAGTGTACACAGAGCCACTGCAAAAGCAAAAAGCAGACGGACATTGGAAAGAGTGTGTGGTAGGTGGGCATCCTGGGGTAAGCAAAGACATTGGGTGAGGGGAGAGCAAGCAGGCCCACCTAGAACAGTCAGGAACAGCTTTGGGCCAGTCAGTGGAAGTCACAGGCAAAGGGGCCTTTGTTTTCCCAGAGGCCAGAGGGTAAAGGGACTGCCGGAAATCCCTCAGTGGCAGGACTGGGGTGGGAGAGGAGCCCAGGACTCCTGACCTCCAGCCTCAATGGCAGAGCGCTGGGTCACCTGCTGCTCCAGGGGAAAGATCACTAGAGCCACTTGGGGCACTCAGGCGGCCAGAAGTGAGGCAGCCTTAACTGACGCCCTGTGGGAGCACAGCTCTGGAGGTGGCAGCTGCTTGGCATATAACGACCCCAAGCCGTATGGATCAGGGGGCAGCCGCTGGCAGTTTCCCTGACTCCACACAAGGCAGACAAGCTGGTGTTTGGGTAAAGCATTGCCTGGAGAGAGGCTCGAGAATCCCGTGAGCCACAGGGACTTCGGAGGGTCTTGGCCACTGTCTTCACTTTCAGGCACTCATTGTTTTTTCCCTTCCTGTTCTTGTCTGGTTAGGGGTTTGTTTTCCCTCTGCCTTCCTCCTTCACTGTTTGCTTTATCCTTTTAACAGGAACATTTTGGAAAAGACAAGTCAGCAGGATTCCAGCTCTTTGGCTCTCCTTATGGGAAGGACCTGCTGTTTACAGACGCCGCCCACGGATTTTTAAGAGTCCCACCTAAGATGGATGTCAAACTGTACCTGGGATATGAGTATTTTGCTACCATTCAGGCTCTCATGGCAGGTGGTAAGGTCCTGGGAGGGCGTTGAGGCAGGATGGGGGGTCGTAGAGGCTTTCCCAGTACCTGCAAGCCTCGCCTCACCCAAACTTCACAGGTCTGCAGAGCCCAGGGAAGCTACCAGCTGCATTGGGTGTTAATGAGGGGATTTTCTGTTGAGCTGGGGAGAAACCTACCTTCAGATTAGGAACAATTTGAAGTAATAATAGTTCTGCCTTCTTTGTATTAACCAGAGTTGCCGCACTCAACGATGAAAGGGTCCATTTCAAAGGGAAAATAGCCCACCTAAACTGAAGTGGGAATATGGTCTTTGCCACCCTCAGAAGAACTAGAATTTCAGAGGATTTTAATCCATCTCTTGCATTCCTCTGAATTTCTATTTCTTCCTTCTTTCCTTTTCCTCCTCCATTTAGTCAACCAATAGTTACTGAGCATCTACCAAACCGCTGGGTTAGATGTGGGCATCCTGGGCTAAGCAAAGACATTGGGTGAGGGAAGAGCAAGCAGGCCCACCTAGAACAGAACACCTGACTGCCAGCTGGGGAATGTTCCCTGAATGGGAGAGCCCAGTCCTGTAAGAAAAACCCTAGAAGGCTCTGCGCGGGGCTGGTGCTTAGAGAAGCCTTCCCTGGGAAGGTGATGCCTGAGAAGGTGAGGTCAGGAGGCAGATTAAGGTTGCTGTGCCTCCACTGTTCTTTCTGAGAACTGAGGTCCCATTTCTCCTGGACAGTGACAGGCAGGCATGAGTGGTGATGTAGGCATGAGACTCTGCTGCTGTTGATGGGGACCCCACTGGGCAGCCACTCCGCAGCTGGTGGCACTAAAACTGCAAACCCATCTTGAAGCGTCCTTTGGATCTCTGGTTCTTCTCCACCCATCCTAGGTGTGGAAGACTCCCGGAGAGTGCAGTGGTGCGCAGTGGGCCACCATGAGAGAGCCAAGTGTGACGACTGGAGTGGCGTGAGTGGTGGCATCTTAACGTGCACCATGGAAGAGACCACTGAGGACTGCATTGCCGCCATTGTGGTGAGGAAGGCCCTGCCTCCACAGCTGGGTTTGCATACCCACTCACGTGGCACTTCTGCTGAGTCTCCTCAGACACCTCCACATCAGCCATGAGGCTGAGGTGCTTGTGTGCTCCCCCCCACTCTCCAAAGCCCCGTCCCACTCCATCCCACCAGCCCCTCCAGCTCAGGGCTAGGCAGAAACGAAGAGCCAACCCAAGGCCCAAACTCATCTGGTACTCAGCTCCGGTGACCAGGGAGCTCTGAGCACTGTCCTGCCTAAGACCTGTAGAAAGTCGGTGACATCCCAGGGTATGGTCAGGGCCCTTGTGGATTGTGAAAGCAAGTCCACGTTTTCAGTCCTTTGGTTGAAAGTTTAATGATTTCTGGTGATAAAAAATATTCCATGCTGGAAGAGAAATGAAAAATAAATATCATTCACAACTTCATAACTCAGAGATCATTATCATATACTTTTTGAGTTATGAAGCTGTGCTAATAAGTTTCCATTTCTTTATGGACAAATAATAGTTTTGTGATTAGAAAAAATTATACATAAAAGGACTGAAAAATTGACAAACTTAGGAGACAATCTTTCTTAGGAAAGAAGATCCTAATTTTGGTAAACCTCCCTGGGACCAGCCCATAAGATTAAGATCATGTAATTTATACAGTCTCTTAACTTTGTCAATTTTTATAAGGTTTACACAAATTTGAGCCCTCTTAACATTGCCTGGCTTACAGTAGCAGTCAATAAATGTTAGCTATTGTTCTTATTACTTGAAGTCTTGAGTATAGTTGGTGTACTTTCTTAGGTAATGACGTATTCATTTAAAATAAGTTTTACTGGCTGCATAATGTTCCACCAAGTATTTCTGATTGAATTTATTTAACCAATTTCTAATTGTATACGAATTTTCTCCAAATTCTTTGTTCTTATAGATAACGTGGGAGTGAAGACTTCTGTCCTTTAGTCATCAGTATTTCTGAGTATGCCTTTAATATTAATGACAGCTAAGGTTTCTGATTATGACCTCTTGTGTTAATTCATTTAATCATCATGATAAGCCTAAGTAAATGTTTCACTTATTTTATGGATGAAAAAATGTGTGTAGAATAGTATTTAGAGCTGTGTCCTTTGGACTAGTCAGGTGCTGAAGGCTTGTGGCATAGTGGCTATGAGCAGAAGCTAAGAAATTAAACTACCTAAGTTTAAGTCTTAGTGACCATCTATTGGACAAATTATTCATCCCTATCTGCCTCAGTTTACTAATGTATGAAAGAGGAAAAATTATACTATCTATCTAATTGGATTTGTGAGGAATACATGAAGTTATCACTGGAAAGAATTTAGAAAAGGCCTTGGTACATAGTAAGGGCTTTGCCAGTTTTTCCTTATAGAGTTACTACTGTCTTAAGTTGTAGATTTTTTTTTTTACAGATTTCTAGAAAGGCAGTTAACAGGTCAAAAGCAAAAAGTGTGTGTGTATCTGTGTGTTTTTTCTTGATGACCTTATCTATGACTGTAAGTATACATAGTTTGCTCTGTTGGAAAAATTTGTTGATTAAAACCACAAGTTAATTATTACAGGAATACCTCATTTTACTGTGCTTTGCTTTATTGTACTTTGTAGATATTGGGTGTTTTTTACAGATTGAAGGCAAGATCCTCTACCAATATAAAGATTAATACTCACTAAAGGCTCAGATGATAGTGGGTTTTTTTTTTTAACAATAAAGTATTTTTAAATTAAGGTATGTGCACTGTTTTCTTGAAATAATTCTGCTTCACACTCAATGGACTAGAGTATAGTGTAAACATAACTTTTACATGGAGAGAAACCAAAAACTTTGTGAGACCCACTTTATTGTGATATTCGCTTTATTGTGGTGGTCTGGAACCAAACCACAGTACTTCTGAGGTATGCCTGTAATGAATTATTGAAGTAAGGTAATTAATTATTTATTAAAAATCTTTGCTGTGCTAGGGATTATGAGATGACAATTGAACTCTGACCTACAGAAGAAAATGTGTTTCATAGAAACAGATAAAGGAAGTCATTGAGTCTGGCCATGTGGATTGTTGAGTGACAATTGTATAGTGAAAGTATAGTGAGGGCATGTCCAGCAGTCAGCATGGGCCTCATGAGACTCCAGAGAGTGTGACCTGGGTTGAACTCTTTCTCCTGGGTTAACAGGCCAAATATATGTCCAGTTTTCTAAACCTCTGTTTATGTGGCAGCAGCTTTGGATGATACACAATTTAGTAATCACAAGGATATGTGATATGAAGCCAATGAGTTGGAAACTTCTGAGGGTTAGTGAGACAGGATAACAACTTCATTGTTGTGCCATTGATTTATTTCTTAACTTCAGAAAGGAGAAGCTGATGCCATGAGCTTAGAGGGAGGATTTATCTACACAGCGGGCAAGTGTGGTCTGGTGCCTGTCCTGGCCGAGAACTACAGTAAGTGGATGGCAGTGTCTCTTGCTGTTTTATTCCCTCTGGGCCATGGACTTAGAGATGAGGAAATAATTTAATTAATTGTTGAGATCATAACAACTATTGTTGGGTTGTCAGGAGCTAGAAGATAACACCCTCCTTCCTGAATGTCAGAACCAATTAAGATATAGACATAGGATTTAGGTAAAAAAAGAGAAAAATAACACCTTTATTACTGAAATAGTGATATGGGAGGGCATGGTGTAGAGCTGGCTGCAGTGCTTGTCAAATTGCAATTGAGTTAGAGTTGCCCACTAATTCAGGAGAACAGGTCTGTTGGCTAACCCCACGGCTGAGGGCAGAGGAAAACATTTTGTCATAGGTGAGAAGCTCTAAACCACCCTCTCCCCACTATCCTCAATAAAGAAAGAAGGGACTGAGTGACGTGTGCCTAGATCCTTTTGCCAACTTTACTAACCCAAAATTAACTCACGCCAGCTGCGCTGGAAGACTGAAGGGTGGGGCCCCAAGGTCGTGTTCTTTGGTGGAGATCTGCCAACATGAAAAACATAAAGCTGGAGAAGAGGATTTCACCAGTAGCATTTGTTAGACACCTCATCTGCTAGGCAGCGAGCAAGAAGCCATATATTATCCTTCAAAATGAAACAGAGTGATATGTCTTTTACAGATGTTAAAAATTAAGGCTTAGAGAAGTTATGGTTTAGAGAAGTTACCATAAATATTGTGTCTAAGGTAGGATAAAGGTAGCATCCAGGTCTTTCTGATTCTATGAACTGGTTCTTGGCTCTCCAACATAGCAAGAATGTAATGATTGTCTACCACAGGCCAGAACCCTGGAGGGAAGAAAGATGTCAGGATGATTTTAATCACATAGCAAATGCAAAAAGATCTTTGTCAAGATCTTCGGTGGTCTCTGCCTCCCTTTGAAAGAGCACCCCATTGTCTTTCTCTGTATCTGCCTAAGTATTGGGGAGATTCTGGGGTGAAACCTAATGTTCAGATGGCAAAGATCAGGGGAAGAGAAGGTAAAACAGGACTGCAAATCTTACCGTTGTTAATGACCAATGAAAAACTCCTTAGTTGGTGTTTCTTTTCATGTTATTCTTAACTCTTATGACTGAGAAACTCATGACTTTGAATGAGTTTGTGAGACTTTAATGTCACGTACCTCAGTAGTTTTTCTTTCTTTCTTTCTTTCTTTTTTAGTGCCTAAAGATGGCAACGAGCAGCTTGGGTCTAAGTGTGTGAATACACTCACTGAAGGTGAGCCAGAATCAGTAACACTGGGGCTCAAGGGTAAAGGCCTATTCTTGGGAAAAGAGTGAGGAAAGCCCTAAAAATAAATGTTACTAGAGTTTTGAAAAAGGAGGAGGAGGAGGAGGAGGGAGAGGGCGAAAGAAAGGGGGAGGAGGAGGAGTAGGAAAACAGTAAGAAGACACCACAGTTAATTGTTAAGTAGCAAATCTGTCATGAAGCTGTACTAATAATGACTATTTGTAGGGTACTTTATAGTTGATGGGACTCCTGCACGCACTATTTCTGTTTGCTTTCTCAGCAATCCTCCAGTATGTGGGTATAATTGTCCCATATTATGTAGATGGGGAAAGTGAGGCTCAGGGACTGTGTCATTTGACCAGGGCCACACAGCCAGGAAGTCAATGTGCCTGGGCTTGAGAAGAGGTGGCTGACTGGAAACACTGTGTCCTTCCTCACCAACAACACTGTTCCTTGTCACATGCCACCTGCCCATCTCTGCAGGAAGGTTAGCACTGGGGCAGGAGCCTATTCCTCACATTTCTGGGGCCTTGCTGCTAGTGAAGATAAGGAGGAAACTGAAACCACTCTTTAGCTTCTAGCCAGCTGGACTTGAATAGCAGGGAAGTCAACCTCATGTTTAGAATAGGAGACGAGGTGACAAGTTCTCCCGTCTCTGTCCCCACATAGGCAGAGAGGGTCTGTATCTGTCCCTGAAGTACTAATTTTTGGCATTAGCTAAAGCAGTGGTTCTCCATCTAGTGTAGTACTTGGACCAGATGCACTAGCATCGCCTGAGAACTTATTAGAAATGAAAATTCTTGGGCCCCACCTTGAATCTACTGAGTCAAACTCCAAGGATGGGATCACTGTTCTGTGTTTTAACAAGCCATCAGCTGATTCTCATGCACATTAAGGTTTTAAAACAACTGTGATGAAGGATCCTGAGATGAAAACAGGTGGTTATTTGAAGTTTCTTTTTATTTTATTTTTTGAATTTAAATTGTTTTAAGTCAAAAATATAGTTGGCATACAATATTACATTAGTTTCAGGTACACAGCATAACGTTTGACATTTATGTATCTTACAATGTGCTCACCACACTAACTCTAGTAATTTGTTACTGTGCAAAGTTATTGTACTATTATTGACTATATTGCCCTTCACCTTTTTCACTTATCCCTTTATCCCACTCCGTTTTGGCAACCATCAGTTTGTTCTTTGTTTCTGATTCTGTTTTTGTTTGCTTTTTAAATTTTTTTATATAAGTGAAATCATGTGGTATTTGTCTTTCTGTGTCTGACTTTATTTCACTTAGCATTATACACTCTAGGTCCACATGTATGAATGTGTCAATCACATCTTCTTTATCCATTCATCTATCAATGGACACCCAGGTTGATTCCATATCTTGGCTAATGTAAATAATGCTGCAAAGAATGTAAGGGTGTATGTATCTTTTCAAATTAGTGTTTTTGTTTTCCTTGGATACATACCCAGAAGTGGAATTGCTGAGTCATATGGTAATTCTATTTTTAATTTTATGAGTAATCTCCGTACTATCTACGATAGTGGCTACACAAAATGAAGTGCCACCAACAGTGCATGGGGATTCCCTTTTCTCCATAACCTCACCAACACTTATTTGTTGACTTTTTGATAAAAGTCATTCTAACAGGTGTGAGAGAATAATCATTGTGGTTTTGATTTGCATTTTCCTGATGATTAGTGATGTTGAACATCTTTTCATGTCTCCTGGCCATCTGTATGTCTTCTTTCAAGAAATGTCTCTTCATGTCCTCTGCTCATTTTTAGATTGGATTTTGTTTGTTATTGAGTTGTAGGAGTTTCTGATATTATTTTGGATATCAACACCTTATCAGATATATCACTTGTGAATATATTCTCCCGTTCAGTAGGTGGTATTTTCATTTCCTTCACTGTGCAGAAGCTTTTTAGTTTGATGACATCCTTTTTCTTTAGTTTTGTTTTTGTTTCCCTTGCTTGAGGGGCCATATCCAAAAAGATATTACTAAGACTGATGTCAAATAGTTTAATACCTATGTTTTCTTCTAGGAGTTTTATGATTTTGGTCTTATTTTTAAGTCTTTAATCTATTTTGAGTTTACTTTTGTATATTGCATAAGAGAGTGGTTTATTTCATTTTTGCATATATCTATCCAGTTTTCTCAGCACCACTTGTCAAAGAGATGATAATTTCTTCATTGTATATTCTTGCTTCCTTTGTCATAGTTTAATTGGCTGTATAAGTGAGGGTTTCTTTTTGGGCTCTCTTTTCTGCTACATTGATTTATGTGTCTGGGTTTTTGCCAATACCATACTGTTTTGATTATTATAGCTTTGTACTATAGTTTGAAATCAGGTAGAATGGGTTTGGAGTTTCTTATGAGATAGGTGAGCTGGGGTAAGTGAGTGGGTTTGGAACACCACAGCACAAACACCTGCCAAACACAGGGTCACAGAGGCCCTGCACTGACCACCTCCCACAAAGTCCTCAGGAATGCAAAGCTGCTCACCCTGCAGCAGCTTCCATTCAAGTGCAGCAGGATCCAAGCCCTAGGTTTGCTGTCCCTCTCCTTTCTCTGCTTTCATGGCTAACAGTTTTCTCCAAATTGTCTTTATCTCCAACCCTAAGAGCTGGCATTTCATCAGCCATGTAGTCTATTGTGATTATAGAATATGTGAAGTCAGAAAGAACTCTAGCTGCTTCAAGGGTGGTTGAAATTTCACGAAATGCAGTGATATGGAAATGTAGGTCAACAAGGATGCTTAGTAGACAGTTCAAGGTGGCTGACTGTGATGAAGAAGGTTAGATCTGAGTAGAGATGGAGAAAGGTTAACCCAAAAGCTACACATACAAACACACATAATGGATGACAATAAATGCCATTTGTGCAGACAGAGTTACATCTCAAGAAGACTCTGTAACAGTATTTGGCTGCTGTGATGGTAGGCAAGGGCTTGCTGTAGCCTTGGGAGAATCTGCTTCACTGAGAGGGGGGCTCTGGTACTTCTTCTGCCACTTGCAACATGGGTGGAAACCTTTTGATGTAACCTTCCTTTCCCACTCCTAATATACCATATGCTCATATTAGCACATTTGATCTTAAATAACCCTCTGGGATGGGTATCATTGTCACCATGTTATTGAGGAGACATTTAGGATCCTAAATGTTAAGTGACTTGTGTGATTTCATTTAGGAAGTAACTGTCTGGACAGGTATTCCACCTACCATGTTGAATCCCAACTCTTTCAGGCTTGAATATATAGAAACCTGAGCCACAACACAAGAATGGGAGTGTGTGTGTGTGTACGCGCACGAGGGGAGGGGGTTTGATGATGGTGAACCACATTATCTTCTAATTCTGGAGATTTATGACTCCAATCATATTAGGAATTCAGCTTTGCAGTTTAGGCCTTACTCAATAAGCACAATTCAGTTACATAATATTGGGACAGGAATACATGAAATATCAATGGTGTTCTCATTAGAGTCAGGAACAACAAGGCCCCCTCCCACCAAAGACATTTGGTATTATTTTGGAAGCGAATGGAGAGAGAGAAAGAGGAGAGAGAGAGATGTTTTTTAACATTGGGGGAAGAGAATTAAATTGTCATTATGAGAGCCATGGCTGGTGTCATTCGGTGGGTTAAGCACCAGCCTGGGAATCGAAAGGTTGCTGGTTCAATTCAGTCAGGACACATCCCTGGGTTGCGGGGCAAGGTCCCCAAGTGGGGGTGTGTGAGAAGCAACCAACTGATGTTTCTCTCCCTCTTTTTCTCCCTTCCCCTCTCTTTAAAAATAAATTAACTAAAAAATCTTTTTAACTATTGTCATTATTAGAAAATGTTATTGTGAACTTAGAAAATTAGAAACATGACTTTTTTTACAAAAGTCATTAAAGTTCTTTCTTTCGGACTTTTATTCAACAGAAACATTTAAACACGAGCACACTCAAATGTACAAAGATTTATATACATAAGTGGTTTGTAATAGGGAAAAATGGGTCTCAATGTAAATACCCACCAGTAGGGGGATTACAAAATACTGTACTTCCATTCAGGGGAACATAACTTAGAGTCACCAGGACTAACTAGAATGAGAGCATTATATCAATTGCTACTGAGTGAAAAAGATGTCCACAATATACTGCTGAAAAAAAAAATAACACAGAAAAGGATCTATAGCAGGATTCAATTGAAAAAATATGAAGTATGTGTGTAAATATTTGTGAATGTATACATGTAGGCGTATCTGGAGCAGGAGTGTTAGTCTGTTTGGCCCAGTACAAATAATGACAGTTATTTGCAGTGGCTTCTGCTAGAGTGAGGTGAGGGATTCAAACTATTCCCCCTCCCTGGAGAGACTGGCAGGCAAGGGCTAGCTGCATCAGCTCTAGAATACATTTTCGGGAGTCCCTGGAGCTATTGAAATTGCATCTTGGTATCTCTGTTGCCAGGTTACTATGCTGTGGCAGTGGTTAAGAAATCAGATGCCCACCTTACCTGGAGCTCTCTGAGAGGCAAGAAGTCCTGCCACACAGCAGCTGGCACTTCTGCGGGCTGGAACATCCCCATGGGCTTAATATACAACCATACTGGCTCCTGTAAATTTGGTAAGCATGTTCTGGGAGGCGGTGTGGCAGCCCCTTCCTTGGGCCTGTGCCTGTGTAGGGGAGAAATTCAGTTCAGCGCATGGCAAGGGATGGCATAAAAGGGCTGGACAGACATTGTGGGTGAGGTTCACGTGCCCTTAAGCAAGTTCTCCCCTTTCTCCTCACCTCCTTTTTTTTGAAGGGAGTGGTTTGACCCAAAGGGCAGATGTTGGGGAAATGCCCTATTCTAACTTGCAGCTGGCTCAGGGAACAAGCCTGGGGTTGCAAAGCAAGAGTGGTGTGTGTGTGCGCACGTGCTTGCGTGCGCATCCACACACGTGCATTGTTTCCCCAAATAGACTGGCTGCTTTTTTTAAAAAAAGATGTTTATTTATTTATTTTTAAGGGGGAAGGGGAGGAGAAAGAGAGAACCATCAATGTGTGGTTGCCTTCTGCACACCCCCTATTGGGGACCTGGCCTGCAACCCAGGCACGTGCCCTGACTGGGAATTGAACTAGCGACCCCTTGCTTTGCAGGCTGGCACTCAATCCATTGAGCCACACAGAAACTGGCTACTTTTTAAAATTGAAAACCTTACTCCAGTAAGCCCTTAGGTGCTTTATCTCTCACTTTTATCCTCATCTTTCTTAGATTCCCATATTTGGCATTTTTTAGGAACATTCTTGCCCAAACCTAAAAGACTCTGGCTCTCCTCCTTTCCCCAGCCATCTGACAAATCCTAGCCCTTCTATGAACCCCACTGCCTGCTCTGCTCTCCCTCTGCACCTGAGCAGCTGAACATGGCTGGAGGATTTGACAGGGCAGAACAGTTCGTTCCACTGGAAACGCCGTAGCCGCTGGCCTCAGTGGTCCCCCAGCACTCAGGAGTGCTGCCACTGCTTCTCTGCTCCACACACCTGCACTTCCCAGTAATTATCCTACCGCTGTACTTGGCCACACACCTCTACCCCACACCCATCATTCACCCTGTCTCAGCACATGATCTCATCTGCACCAGCAGTAGGCATTGGAAATCTCCAGAGAGCCTCTCCGCCTCAGCATCCCATTGCGGAAGCTGTGGCCTCCTGATGGCTGCATCTGTTCAGCCTCCCTCCACAACCCGGCCAATCCCTCTATCTGCACTCAGGTGTGGGCCCCTCCCTTGCTCCCCTCCCAGAACCTCATGCCCTTGGTCATTACTTCTCCCTCTGGTATATCCAACAATTTCTCTCAACATGTAAACACACCCAATGTCTTCCATCTTTAAAAATCCTCCCTCTCCCAGCATACTCCTCCGGCTCCTGCTTTCTTTCTCTTCCTCTTTACTGCCAGACTTATTAAAAGCCTGGTCTGAACCCCTCGCCTCCCACCCACTCCCTGCCCTCTGGCTTTCTGCATCATTCCACACAAAGAACTCTGGTCAAGGCCACTGTGACCTACCTGTTGCTTAACTGGAGGGGCTCCCGTCCTTTTTGCCATGACCTCTCTTTCTTCAAAGCAACTTAAAACACTTATCTCCTGGCTTTGTGAAAACACACAAGCTTGGTTATCCTCCTACCCCTACAAAGTCCCCCTTTCCCAACCTGGTTAATAAATGTTCGAGTTGCTTAAAGTAACTTTTTTCCCCCCACTCTGAACTCAGTCCTCAAGCACTCACACTCATGCCTACAGCCCCGGTCACCATCTAAACAAATATTGTATGTAGACAGCAAGGCACATAGCAAGCGTTAGATAAATGTTTGCCGCTTTCACTATCAATAGTGTTATGTCTATATTTTGATAATATCAAGTTTTTATCCCCAGCACAGATCTCTCGTTGACCTCCAGACCTGTATGTATGTATGAACTGCCTATTTGACATTATCTACTTAGATATCTCAAAAGCACATTAAGCTCAACCTGTCTGAAATGAAATATTCCATCTTTGCTGAGCCTGGTCCTGCTGCTGAGCTGCCTCGCTTGGTGGAGGGCCCCACAGTCCATCCACCTGCCCCAGCTGGAAACATGGAAGCGTCATTCTCCACATACCTGCCCATCACCGGGAGTGTCAGTTTCTCTCCCCTCCACCTACCTACCTCTCCTTTGTGCTACTCTAGTCCAAGCTGCCCTCATCTCCCCTTGACTACTGCCGTGGCCTGCTGCATGCACAGCACATCTGCCCTGGATTCCCCCCACCCTGTTGCCAGACCATTCTTGCAAAGAGCAGACCTGACTATATCCTGCACTGTCTAAAGCCCTTCAGAAGCTCCCCATTTTCTCTAACAGTAAAGAACAAAATCTACACCAAAGTGTAAAAGGTCACATATGGTCTGGATCCCTGCTCCCTCCCCGTTCACTCTTGCTGTGAGTGGTCCACCTTTAAAAATCCTCCCTCTCCCAACATTTTCCTCCATTAGCTCCCTAGGTAGTTGGTCCCTCACCCCCAACCACTACCCTAGGCCTTTGCAGATGCTGCTTCCTTTGCCCTTCACTCGGGTAATTCCTATTCATTCTTCACCTCTCAACTTGAGACCTCTTCTTGACTCCCAGTCTGTATTGGGTTCCTTTACCTACAGTCTGTGGAATCACATTTTCCACCCCCCAGAGCAAGGGGGAAAACATGAATTCACTCTGTGATTACTTGAGTGATAACTGTTGCCCCAGACACTTAGGTTCCAGGGGGGTGGATCTTCACCACAGTGCCCTGGAGCCCAGCAGAGGACTTGGTGGCTGGGCCTCCCAGCCCCTCCTTGGACTTAGAGTCATGCCGGCAGACCTTGCAAAGGAGGGCAGGGCAGCAGACACTGGAAAACATGTGAAACGGGTTCAACCAGCTAGGACTTCCAATTTTTGTCTACTTTTAGGATTAAATCTATGTCTGTTCTTCCTGTGCTGGGACGGAGAGGACTTTTGTGAGCTCAGACTCTTGTCCCAACTTCAGCTAATTAGTCCCCCTTTACTTCGTTCCAGCTGCAACTTTTCTCTCTCTCTCTCTTTTTTTAAAATTTCTTAAGGTTCCTATTTCCAATAATATGGTACCAACTACCTGAATGCACCTTTAGATTGTTCAGTCAATTCTAGAACAAAAAATGAGAGGGAGACAATTCTAGGAACAAAACTCTCAGGCTTTCTTGCTAACACAGGCAGGAAGAACTGACCTCCTGTTTCCTCCTGCACAGATGAATTTTTCAGTCAAAGCTGTGCCCCGGGGTCTGATCCAGATTCCAGCCTTTGTGCTTTGTGTGGCGGTGGCAGCAATCCAGCCTATGTGTGTGCTCCCAACAGCCACGAGAAATATTATGGCTCCAGTGGGGCATTCAGGTGAGTAGTGTCTGTGCACCACATTTCTCTTTGGCTCCAACTTCATGAACTTCTTGCCCTTTCACCTTTTTCATTATCTCAGTACCTGGGTGCTTCATTTAGGAGGAGCCCGAATTTAGAACCAGAACTGCAAATTCCCAGTGGCTCCTAGGACTCAAGTTCAGTCCTTTCTGGAACACTCACCTACAGACCCAGCAGACCTCAGGCACTTGGGGAGAGGCAAATGATGGTGTAGGGTCACAACCCTGGTTCTGGTTTTGCTCATTTCTTCGGTGTGACTGTGGACGCATGATGGAATCTTTCAGAGCTCCAGTTTAAAATCATAGGAGGGGCATCCTCCATGTGCTTCTTACACCTGCCTGATGAGATTTTGAAAACAGATATTCTTGAGCTCCTTTATCCATTTAAGAAGTATTTATTGAGCACCTAGTTTGTGGCAGGCACTCTTTTAGGTAGAAGGTTATCACAGCAACAAGACACACATAGTCCCCACCCCCTGACTCCACAAGGGTAGGACAATAAACACATAAATCAAGGGCAATCACTTACTCACTTTGTTAAGTACTACAGAGGAACCAAGGTGGGTGATGTGACTGTGACTTGGGGAGGGGACAATTTTGGAAATGGTGGTCAGGGAAGCAAGAGGAGGCACCATGTGAACTGAGGATTAAATATCAAAAGGGAATCTGACTTGAGAAAATTTGGAGGAAGAGTAATCCAGGAAGAAGGGATAGCAAGGACAAAGGCATGGAGTGGGACAAATCATACTGTTTGAGGCCAGAGAAGAAGGCCCTAGGTAGAGTGTGGGAGGGAGGGGATCAAGTATGTGAGGAGGCTAGAGCTACAGACATTGGCTGCCTTGGTGCCCCATTGGCCTGGCTAAGAAGGTAGATTTAATTCTAAGTATGGTGGGAAGTCTGGGACCCTTTGAGGCAATAGGCTATGTTGTGTGAATTAGGGTTTTATGGCTTCTGTGTGGAGAGCATGTGAGCTTCTAGAAGGACACTTTTATTCATCGCACTGCCAGACTACCTTGTTCTGCCCTCTCCAAAGTTTTGTCTCTTTCATAAGCCATATATAAATTACATATTTTCACAGATCCCACTACAGCAATATGTGCTGAATGCTAAACCTAGGTTAAAATAGTTTAATTTTTCTTTACATTGGAAGGTGCATTGGCATTAGGTTTGATAGTCACATTTTGGTACTATTAAGATACATCATAGAGGACCTAGAACTGAGTTCTGTCTTGAACCATGACTTCCCCTCTTTCCACAGTAAAGATGAACACAAAAAGAATAAACACAGCCTCCAACACCTCATTCTCCCTACCACCTCCTACTCGCCTTTACACTCCCTATAGTTTCCCAACTTCAACAGCCCTTCATTCCTACTGACCTATGATCCACTGATGCTATGAACCCTCCCCTGTTCTCACCCCTCTTTATGTCCTTTTCTCCCTCTGCACCCAGCATACATTCCACAGCCAACCATGGTAATTATCCCCCTGCACATATCCTCAAATGCCGGTCCCCTCTCCTGGCGGAACCACAACCTTGCTAAGGTCCAACATTCTACTACTCAGTGTCTGCACTGCTGGGCTGACTGGTCTCCCTTTAAAGTAATGAGAATTCACCTTAAATGAGCCATATGTCTCTGTGTCTATTCACCACCCTGCTCTCCTAAGAGATGGTTCCATACTTTTCTCCCTCTTTAATCCTCCAATACTTCCTCCTCCATCTATTAGATCTTTGTTTCCCATTTCACCTGAGGAAATTGGAGCAATCAAAAGAGAAATTCCACCCTGTCCCCAGTGCCACATCTACCCACGCGCTGGCATCTGTGCCCATAAACATTGCCCTCCCTCCTATTATTTGGGATGACTAGGCTGCCTCCTAGCGAAGCCCAGTCCTGTCCCTGCATCGACTGCCTCTCCTCTAGCCTCTTCCAGGGCGTTGCCCCACCACGTCTCCCCTCTTTCTCCTGCATCATCACATTTTCTTCTCTACTACATCATTTCCATCAGCCTGCAAACATTGTGCTCTTTTCTTCATTTTAAACATAAATAAATAAAACCCTCTTGATCTCTTTCCCCTCCAGCAGCTTCCTATTTCTCTCTTTACAACAAAATCCCCTTGAAGTTCAACATCCTTGCTCACTCCAATTTCTCTCCTTTCAATCCCCCAGAACCCAGTTTAAGAATCTGTCTACCTCCCCCACCTCTAATTAGTGGAATTGGTTTTATTATTGTTTTCAAATTATCTACCGAAAACAGTCCCCCTCGTTGCTGGCACATGGGCAGGCTCTTCCCACCCTCCCTCCTGCTTCACGCACCACCATCCCCCATGCAGCTGGAACTGCACTTTTAAGTCACCAATGACTTCCATGTTGCTAAATAAATCCAAAGACCAGTTGTCAGTCCTTGCATTACTTAATTTAATTGGCACCACGGATCACTTCCTCCTCTTGGATACAGTTTCTTCCTTGGCTTCAGGACCCACACTCTCTTGGATTCCCTCTTGCCTCTCCTGTTACTGCATCTCAGTCTCTTGCTGATTCAGCCTCACTTCCCCAACGTCTACATGGTGGTGTACCTCAGGGCTCCATCCTCGGACTTTTCTTTTCATGCCCATGGTTATCTAGTCTCCATTCATTTATACGCCAACCAATTCCCAAATTTATGTTCCTGTTCAGCTTGCCTCTTCAAAACTCCAAGTGAGAATTCAGATTTGTATATCCAACTGCCTGTTGGGATTTATAATCACCATCTCAAATTTAAATGGCCCAAACTGACCTTATGAAATTTCACACACTCCCATCCAAACCAGTACCTCTTTCAGTCTTCCTCATTTCAGTTAAAAGCAACTCCATTCTTTTTTTCTTTTTGGAAAAAAAGTCAAAACCTTGGTGTGTGTTATCCATGTCCACTCTCTTTCTCTCAGACCCCACATTTCATTCACCATCAGATCATGTTGGCTCTATGTGCAAAAGGTAACCAGCATTAACTACACCACCTGTCTCCACTGATACCACCTTGATCCAAACCACAACTCCCCTCAGATTGTCATAATATCCCCCTAAAAGGTCTCTATGCATCTGTCCTATCCTCCCCCACCAGTCTATTCTCAACACATCAGCAAGAGTGATGCTGTTAAAACATAAATCAGAGCATTACTCTTCTCTGCTTAAAGCCCTCCAGTAATTTTCTATATCACTTAGAATAAGAGTCAGGGTCCTTCTTCAACCTATAAGACCTCTTTGTGATATTCCCCCTTGCCCTGTTTGTTCCTCCAGCCATGCTGGCATCCCTGCTGTCCTTTGAAGGCACACTCCTGCCTCGGGGCCTTTGTACTTGCTCTTACTCTGGAGTGTTTTTTCTTGTCATATCATCATGGTTAATTCCTTCATTTCCTTTAGAGTTTCTCAGGTAAATCTTTCCTGACCACTCTATATATTTTCTCTCTCTCTCTCTCTCTCACACACACACACGTATCTTCAACCATAATTTATGTCCCCCTTTCTTGCTTTATGTTTTATTTAGCAATTATAACTCTAGAATAATATAAATTTTGTTTATTTATATTCTTTTTTAAACGATTTTATTTATTTATTTTTAGAGAGAGGGGAAGGGAAGGAGAAAGAGAGGAAGAGAAACATCAATGTGTGAGAGACACATTGATCGGTGCTTCTCACACGCCTCCCACAAGGGACCTGGCCCACAACCCAGGCATGTGCCCTGACTGGGAATCGAACCAGTGACATTTTGGTCTGCAGATCAGCACTCAATCCACTGAGCCACACCCATCAGGGCTATTTATATTCTTTAAAGCCTTTTTTTCTCTAATAAATATAAAATATATAAGAACTCTTTTGGTTGCAAGTGCAAAAACCCACGTGAACCATCTTAAGTCAAAGGGGATGTTTTAACAGATGCTCTGGGATGGGCTTCCTTCCTGTAAGGTCTGAGACCTGAGCTTTAAGGGCCACCCAATGTAATTTAAGGTGAGGGTTGCCAGATAAAATTCAGAAGGACCAATTAAATTAGAATTCCAGATAAACAGTGAGGGGTTTTTTAGTAGAAGGGGACCCACTTTGCTTCTCTTGTCTCCTCTTTTTCTATCTGCCTCATTTTCTCTTTCCCTGCAGAGTGGTTTCCTCTGTTTCTCAGTCTACATGGAGGGAAATGTCTGTGACCAGCAGTGCAAGTGTTGTTATAACTCCTTCGTTATAAAGAAGGAAACACAGACCATAATGTATTAGTCCCAATTCCCAGGAAATGGGATTGTCAGCCCAGTTCAGGCAAAAACTTCCTGCTCACATAACTCGAGCAGCAAAAGTTGCACTGTGAAGTTCTAGCTGCCTCCAGTGTGACCAAGTGGATTGAGTGGGGTGGAGGGAGTCAGTTCTCAAAAAAGTATTAGAGCTTTGTAGACCAAACAAGAATCAAGAACTTTAAAATAAAATTTTACAAAGGGAATTTGCTTTCCTGGACATAAAAATCACACAATACTGTAATACTGTGGTCTATACAGGCTGATTTATGTGCAAGAATGACAAATAAATCAATAGAAGAGAATAGACTTATAAGACAGACACATGAACATTGTTATATTTGATCTATAACAAAGATGATTTTCAAATCACTGGGGAAAGGATGAACTTCAGAGAGCAAATAAAATGAGTATGGCAAGTTGGCCCCTGGATCTGGTGACTCTGGTGGTAGAGGATTCAAGAGTGAGTCAGCCCCCCAACCTGGCTGGCAGGGGTCAGTGAGGGCAGTGTGAAGGGGTGCTGATGGCAAGTGTGATGATTCCTTTTAGGTGCTCAGATGAGTGAGGGAGAGAGACCCACTGCTGAGTGTCATGTGGCATCAATGTAGGGCTTACTGTTTTGTTTTTTTTAAAGGAAAGAAGTATGAATGCCAATGAAAAGAGCTCAGTGAACAGGAAAAGGCTCCGATTATATAACAGAAAGAGGCTAGCCATAGCAGAGGTGCCTGAGAATGTGGGTGGAGATGGGATGCAGAGCACCTGTGGAGGACACTTTTGCTGGGAGGGAGATCTTCCCTCCTTTGTACCTGAAGGGCAGGAGAAAAGCACTGGACACTTGGACTGGTAGATTTGGCAGAAGGATGCTGAAAGAATGCCCAGTAATGATCTCTGGGAAGCAGGAGCACCTGTCAGGGTATGAGTGTCAGGGAGGGGTATGAGGAGAGACAGAGGTCTGCAGGAAGTGGGAAATGTTTTGAAGCCATTGCTCTATAGACTGGGGAGTGGCTATCCTGAGCCCTAGTTCTAACACTTGAGCACAAATCAGAATTCCTAGAGGTCTTGTTAAAAGACAGATCACTGGGATTAAGTTTAAACAAATATCTAGTGATGCACATTAACTTTTATCAAGGCTGAGTAGACATATGGATGTGTTAAGACTCCTTCAAAATCTCATCTTCCATGCTGATTTTAATCTCTGAAGTGAGTTTTGTTCCAACCAGTCATCCTTGAATATCTCTGTTAATAGGAGAACACAAGCATTTCGCCTGGAGAAACTGATCAGCATTTAAAGTAAGGAACAATAGGAACTAAATAAGCATATTCCTTTTTTAAAAAATTACAGTTCTTCTCTAATTCCCATGGATGGCCAGACATTACAGTTGTGTGTGTGGAAGTGTCAGCATTAGATATGCCATGTGGCCTGGGTGGAGGGGTCTCTCCTCCCCCTCGGGGTCTCTCCCTCCTCTCCTGCTGATCCTCCTCGCTGACCTGCCCCCTTGGTGTGCAGGTGTCTGGTTGAGAAGGGAGATGTGGCCTTTGTGGAGCACCTGGCAGTCCTGCAGAATACAGATGGTACGTGCCTGCTCTGTCCTTTCCTCCCTTGGAAAAATCTGAGTCTCTTATGGGAAATCCCTCCTGAGTTGGGAAATCAAGGAAATTTTTTAAGTAATCAGACTTGAATGACTTTGTCCCTAACATTTTTTATTTACAGAATGAGAAAATTGTTCCTGTCCAGTCAGACTTCACAGGGTTGGTTATCACACTGGCCTTCAGCCCAGCTGACAAACACACGGAGGATGCAGTCCATCTGAGCACCTCTGGCTCTCTTGATTTATAGGCATTCTTGATATATTCTGGATACAACTTTTTGACAGTTATATGTATTGAAAGTATATTGTCCATCTCTGAAAAATCTTGACTTTTTGCTTTCCTAACAATGTCTTTTGATGAACAGATATTCTTAATTTTAATGTAGTTCAGTTTATCAGTCTTTCCTTTTCTAGCTAGTGCTTTTCCATGCCTGTTTAAGAAATCTTTGTCTTTAACAGGGCTGAAAAAGCACTAACCAGAAACGTGATGAATTTATTAGTTTATGAATGTTTTTGTTTTATTTTAAAGGCTTTATTATTTTGTTTCTCTGTGTCTCTGTGAGCCCAGACTCTGGTGGTTGGTCACACCTCCCCTGGGGAGGGCACCTCGATGAAAGCCATCGGTTGTCCTGGCTTCTCTCTCCCCAGGGAAAAACCATGAAGACTGGGCTAAGGATCTAAAGCAGAAAGACTTTGAGCTGCTGTGCCTCGATGACAGCAGAAGGCCTGTGACCGAGGCTCAGAACTGCCACATAGCCATAGTCCCAAATCATGCTGTGGTCTCAAGGGAAGATAATGCAGATTTTGTTCGCAGAATGCTCTTCAACCAACAGGTATGGGCAACTGAATGCTCACCTCACCTGCAGACCTGCACAGATGCATGCCAGCCCAGTCTCACACTCTTTCTCCCTGAGAGGTGGCACTTGATTCTTGTAGCCCTTCCTCTGATGAAAGCAGAAGGCTGGTGGCTGTGTTCACTTCTTGCTCTGGGGTCACCTAGGATACCAAAGTGGACTGAAAAGCCTCAAACATCTGAAGTTTCTCACTGAGATTCCCTCAATTCTGAGCAGAGCCATGGCACCTCTTGGGTGTGTTCTGTCACAGAAATAAGCAAGTTAGCTCAGTGCCCTTCACACCAGGCTGAGCTATATGTGGGAAAAGCAGAGTGGAGGTTACTCTCTCTGACCTAGGTAGATCCCAATGTGTTTCCTGAACCTGGCAAGCTGAACACTCTTTTAGGCTTCATGAGAGTTATGAAGCCAACATTCAGCTATTTTATGACCTCTACAGGAAGCCAAAAAGGGCTGATCCTATGGAGCAGTGGGCTGTGTAAATCAAATGATTTTAGGGAAAACCCAGAGCCTTGCCTGCCTTTTGCACCAGCACACTCCATCCCTAGAGGTGCTCCAATAAGAAATCCATGTCTTAGCGTATGTTGCCAACACATCCCAGGAAAAACACAATCCGGGGAGAGCTCTTGGTTGCAGACTTGTGAAGGGCTGGGTCCCATACAGGGTGAGCTGCCACCTTGGTTACAAGGGAAGTGGACAAATGATGAGAGGGGAGGGAAAAGAAGAGATGGAGATGGCTGGGTACCTGGGGCAGATCCAGAGGATAGAAGAAGAAAGATGATGAAGAAAGATAAAGAATAAAGAGGGCTCCAGGCAGCAGGAAAACATGCAAGTGTGGCCCAGAAAGTTGAAAACACCTGAGAATGACTGACAGGATAGTGGCAACAGTGGCAAACTTGGAGCTTTTTCTGTTTAGCATTTGCTTAACATACACCATCTCACTAGGTAGGGTTATTATCTCGGTTCACAAATGAGGTTCAATAAGCTCAGTAAAGAATTTTCCCAAAGACACATGACAAGGAAATGCCAAGGTCAGGATTTGAACCCAGAGGCCATGTTTTTTGCCATTTCACTATGGTGCCCCCAAAATTGTTGCTGTGCTCCCGATTTCCTAGGGGCTGGAGCAGACTCAGATCTTTTGGGGCAGAATACACAACCCTGGTTTCCCCGGCACTGCTGGTCACTCACTGTCTGTCTTTCTGATCCAGGAGCTCTTTGGAAGGAATGGGTTTGAATATATGATGTTCCAGTTGTTCAAATCCTCAACCAAGGACCTGCTCTTCAGTGATGACACGGAGTGTTTGGCCAACCTTCAGGACAAAACAACTTATCAAAAATACTTAGGGCCAGAGTATCTTAGAGCCATCACTAATGTGAGACAATGCGTACCCTCTGGTGAGTAGAATAAAACACTGAGGAGCAATAACATGGGGGTCAGGTAAACATGCTAAGCCCTGGGCCAACAGTAATAGGAACACAAAGATTCAGAGGACTTGCTCCTGACCCTGCAGGAGGATTCAAACTCACCAATGGGGTGACTCAATTAGACAATAGTGTAAGACACTAGATGAAAAAAAAAACCAAATCATTTGGAGGAGACAGAGTACAAAAGAATTTGAGATCATTTGGAAATTGAACTTTACATATGTATTTAATTTTCTTTTTTGCTAAAAAAAATGAATATGTGCGTGAGTACTTCAGATATAGGGAGAAGGTTGGGAAATGACATGTATATACCACTCAGTGGACTGATTTTTTTCAAAGATTTTAAGTTAAGTAATTAATTAAAATGAAGTAAAATATTATTAGAAATAATATTAATAGAAACAAAGTATACTTAACACTATAATAGATCCTTTCTAGCTAGAATGACATCGCTGCCTCAAAAAGAAGAAGTTGGAGAAATAAAATTAGAGATTGGATAATCAAATTATTGGGAGTGTACCTGAATTTTTGTTGAATTATTTCATGTGTTGTAGATAATGAAAGCAGGAGGGAAGGACAATGTAGGTAGTCAAGAATAGCACTGATATTACTGAGGGGAGATGGAAAATTAGTTTTAAAAAATCTTTATTACTTATCATTTATCATTTAAAAAATAGGAACAGAATTGTGTTGAGTAAGCACAGGCAGTACCTGAAGGTCTTTCTCTTACATTGTGCTTCACAGAACTTCTGGCCGCTTGCACATTCCATAGAAGTTAAAAACTGATCAAAATGGGCCACTGCAGAGATGCTCAGAGCCTGCAAATACAATGGGGCCACGTTCTCACTTGCCTGCATGGGGTCCGTGTTAACATCAATGATCTTTGTAATTATGTGCTATAACTGAGGCAAAAATTAAAGTGAATAAAAATTGTCTTCTCAGAAAACTTTCTTAAATGTTCTAACATTTGGAGTGAGGGGGGAGAAAACAATTTCTTTGTACTAGAATTGTGCTTCTGAATTTAATATATATTAAACTGTACTTTTTCAAAGCTCCCTATTCTTTTATTATTTTACCTAAGAGTCAAGTCACTTAAATAGAATCTATGCAATATATCTGTCTGAAGGGAGTCTGAGTGGTGATTACAAGTGTGCAAAAAACACCAATGTGTGTAGTGTCAAGGACTTACATAATAAAAACAAAGGCTAAGGAATGAGTTTATTTTTAAATGTATTTTAACATTTAAATTTTATAATGTCAAATGGAATCAAACTCTTGATTCAGAATAATTGGAAAATATTAAAAGGACTGGAAGAATCTAATCCTACCCTTTTATGGTCAACTTCCTGAAAAGATTTAAACTCATTTCTTTTTAATCAGTTTGTTATCAGAGATTTTCTCATATCTATTTTTATCATAATTTCAGCTTATGGTAGTGCCTCAATGAATGCTGTTGAATGGGAACCTAAGTTTATATTGTTAAATGTCAGTTTCATGAGTTCTTTCTGTGAAACAGTAACCAGCACAGGACTTGCCCTCTTTCCATTAACAACTAAAAAACTAGACAAAATATACAAAACAACTGCTTTCAAAGACTAGACAGTAACAGCACAGGGCTATGGTCCCTGAAGGAAGAAAAAGAAAAGAGGTGAATAGTACATTGATCCTACTTTTTACCTAGAGGAAATTTCCAGATCACAGCACAGAGAAAAGGAACCCAAAAGAGCCCATCACATTGAGCTGAGGAAACAGGTAGGAGCTGGGGAAAGTCACAGTGATTGGAATTTGTATACAGAAGAGATCTTATAAAAAGTCTTCTTGAGTCTCTGGTGAAATACTAATCTCCATGTTGTCAAGGAAATTGAAGGCTGGGCAAAAAATAACTGTGAAAGACCGACATGCTGAACAATTCTCAGGGCATATACAGGGACGCTAATCACCCACGTTCCTACCAACCAGAATGAAGAGACCTCACTGGAAACCTAAGGACTTCACTAAAGGTCAAGCCTTGGATGTGGGCCTAAAATTGCTGTAGATTAAGGGCTGCTCTGTATTTGCCCTGACTGAGAGTGAAATTAGCCTTGGTAGAATCAACTGATCTGCCAAGTTACTGCCTTCTAAAATAAGCCTCAATTCGCATTAAAGGGAGACAACAAAATCTAAATATTCAATAAGGTATATGCAATGTCCAGCATCAAATGCAAAACTTACCGGATATGCAAAGAAGCACAAAATGTGACCCAGAATCAGGTGAAAAATCAACCAGTGGAGACGCAACTAGAAACCACAGGGATGATTGTATTCTGACAATAAACTTTTAAAAGTTTAACAACTCTTGATTGGTATTTTGGTATTCTTAGGGTATATTCCCAGCAGTGGAATCACTGGGTCAAAAGGCAGTTCCATTTTTAATTTTTTGAGGAAATTCCACTGTATTCCACAATGGCTGCACCAGTCTGCATTCCCACCAACAGTGCGCTAGGGCTCCCTTTTCTCCACATCCTCACCAGCACTTGTTTGTTGATTTATTAATGATGGCCATTCTGACTGGTGTGAAGTGATATGTCATTGTGGTTTTAATTTGCCTCTCTCGGATGTTGATAATGATGTTGAGCATCTTTTCATATGTCTATGGACCATCTGTATGTCCTCCTTAGAGAAGTGTCTATTCAGGTCTTTTGCCCATTTTTAAATTGGATTGTTTGTCTCCCAGGTGTTGAGTTTTATAAGTTTCTATATTTTGGAGATAACAAAATACCATTTCAAAAGAACTTATGCACCCCTATGTTCATAGCCATGCTATTTACAATAGCCAAGTGCTGGAAACAGCCTAAGTACCCATCAGTAGATGAGTGGATCAAAAACTAGCACATTTACACAATGGAATAGTATGTGGCAGAAAGAAAGAACTTCTACCTTTTGGAACAGCATGGATGGAACTGGAGAATATTATGCTAAGTGAAATAAGCCAGTTGGTGGAACACAAACAACATGTGATCTCACTTGTAAGGGGAATCTAATGAACAAAATAAACTAACAAGCAAAATAGAACCAGAGGCATAGAAACATGGAACAGACTGACAGTGGCCAGAGGAGAGGGGAAAGAGGGACAGTGGTGTAAAGAAGAGGATAGGACTGGTCAAAGAACATGGATAAATGACTGTGAACATGGACAATGGTGTGGAGACTGACTGTGAGGGGGGCTGGGCTGAGGGAGGAGGGCAAAGGGGGAAAAATTGGGACTATAATAGAATAACAATAAAAAGTTAACAACTGTTTATGTAAAGGATTTAAATGAAAACATGAACATAAAAAGTGTAAGGTTTAACAAAGAACCAGTGAAAATCTACAGCTGCAAAATTTTTATTTTTCAAGGAATTTGTTCATTTCATCTAAATTGTCTATTTTTGCCATAAAAGTGTTCAAAATATTTTCTTATTATCCTTTTAATATTTATAGGATGTACAGTGACAACTCTTCTTCCATACTCCATACTAGTAATTTGTGTTTTCTCTATTCTTTTTCCTTAATCAGTCTAGTTGAAATTTTCAAAGAATAAATTTTTGGCTTTATAAATTTTCACTATTGTTTATCTATTTTCTATCTAATTTTCTGTTCTTAGCTTTATTTCCTTTCTACTTACTTTTAATTTCATTTACTTGTTTCCTTGGATTTTTAAAGTGAAAGCTTAGATCAATGATTTAGAACATTCTTGTTTTCTAATAAGACATTTAAAATTATAAATTTCCTTCTAAGTACTGGTGTAGTTGTATTCCACAATTTGGTTATGTTGTACTTTCCTTATCATTCAGGTAAAATTTTTTAAAAATAGCTTTCCAAAAATGTCTTTTCTTATCTATTATTTAAAAGTTATTTTTAATTTCCAAATATTTGGTGATTTTCCAGATATGCTTTTTTATTGATTTCTAATTTAATTCCTTTGTGGTCAGAGACTATATTTTGTAAAACCTCAATCTTCTTAAATTTATTTATTTATTTATTTATTTATTTATTATGGCCAACAGGCAGTCTATCTTGGTGGATGTTCTATGTATACATGAAAAAAAATGTATTCTATAATTGTGGGGTGTGATTCTACAATGTATAGTTTTGTAATATAAGGGTAGGCAAAGGTAGGTTTACAGTTGTTTGTATGGAAATAATACAATAATTAATAAATAAGAATAAACTTTGTGTTTCCCATACTCACAACTGTAAACCTAATTTTTATCAACCTCTGTATTTAGTGTAACTCTACAATAGCAATTAGTCAAGTTTGTTGACATAATTTTTCAAATCCTCTGTCTTGACTTATTTTCTGTCTACTTTTTATGCATTTAATCTCTGAGAGAAGAGGATTGAAATTTCCAACTATAGGTATAGTTTTGTTGATTTCTGCAGTTCTATCAGACTTTGCTTTGTATATTTTGAGACGCTGCTAGGTATAGACACATTTAGGACGTTAGACTTTCTTGATGAATTGACTCCTTTATCATTATGAAATGTCCTTAGTTGTCTCTGGTAATACTTAGTTGTCTCTGGTAATACTTGTCCTTAAGTCTACTTTTTGCATATTAATATGACCACTCCACCTTTTTTTTTATTAGCATGTGCTTAGTGTATTTTTATTCTTTAACTTTTAATCCATCTGCTTCTTTATATTAAGCTGGGTTCCTTGTAGGGAACACATAGGTCTTTTTTCATTGACTGTGACAATTTCTACCATTTTAAATGTGTATAGATAATGTAATTATTGATATTTGTTATCTATCTGTCTTTTGTTCCTTGCTTCTGCTTTTCTGACTTCTGCAGGCATACATCAGAGATATTGTGGGTTTGGTTCCAGACCACTGCAATAAAGTGAGTATGCAAAAAAGCAAGTCATAATCTTTTTGTTGGTGGAGGGTTTGCCTTTAATTTGTAAAAAATACAACATCTGTGAAGGTCAATAAAGCAAAGCACAATAAGAAAAGTTAATTATCAATTAATTTAAAAAATTTTTTTTATTGTTCTAATACATTTGTCTCCATTTACTCGCCACCACTCTCCCCTGCCCCACCCACTCCCACCTCTCCCCCTCAATCCTTCACCACCTTGGCTTCATCCATGTGTCCTTCACACCTATTCCTTGATCCGACCCTTCCCCTTCCCCTCCCCACTGCCTCCCTCCCTTTATCCCTCCCATCCCTGTCTGTTTCTCCTTTATTTCAATGTTGCTGGTCATATTTTCCTTGCCTGCTTGCTTTGTTGGATAGGTTCCACTTATAGGTGAGATCATATGGTATTTGTCTTTCACTGCCTGGTTTATTTCGCTTATTGGCTATTCTTTTATTTTTTAAAAAAGATTTTAGTTATGTATTTATTTTTAGAGAGGGGAAGGGAGGGAGAAAGAGAGGGAAAGAAACACCTATCTGTGGTTGCCTCTCAAGTACCCTCTACTGGGGACCTGGCTCACAACCCAAGCATGTGCCCTGACTGGGAATCCAACCAGTGACCCTTTGGTTTGTGGGCCGGCACTCAATCCACTGAGCCACACCAGCCAGCGTGGCTATTCTTTTATATTTTAACATCTTCAAGATTTGTAATATACATATTTAGCTTAAAACTACTGACAAATAATATTATATCACTTTGTGTATAATGTAAGATCCTATAATAGCACAGTTCTACTTCCCCAGTGATATGCGGGTAAAGAACAAGATCTTCAAAGTAAAAAAAACGGGGGTTGGGGGGTGGCCTGATTTGTATCATTTGCCAGTTTCATGGAGTAAATACTTGTCATGGAAGATTTCAAGCTACCAAAGTGACATCAAGGAAATCAGAGTTGGGAAGAGATATACACAATCAGTGTTTGCAAGTCAACCCAAGCTTACTGCATTACTCCATTGATTTCCCTCTTTTCTCTCTTGTGCTTTTATTATCATACATTTTACTTTTACGTGTTAGAAACTCCACAATACATTTTTGTTATTCTTATATCAAATAAACAAT